CGTTTTTTTTAAAAATAATTTCAACTCGGTTCGAAAACCGTTAGAAAAAAAATAAAATAATAATAATAATAATAATTTTTAAACGCTTATAATGTTGATGATGGTGATGATGATGATGATGATGATGAAAAGTTTGCCGGAAAAAAATCAAGAAAATATTTTTTATTTATTATTATTTGATTTTCGTTTTAAACTGAGTTTTTAAAAAAAATTTTCAATCATTGTTAATTACATATAAAAACAAAACAAAAACAAAACGCTATTATTATTATTATTATTATTATTATTATTATTATTATTATTATTATCGCTTTTAATTTTTTTTTTTTTACGACTGAAATTTTTCCATAATATGTGTAAATAAATAAAAATGTATATATAAATAGAAAATTTAAAAAATTAAGTACAATTTAAGTTTTGTAATTTATATTGCGTAAGTCATTTAGTTTTTTTACTTTATTTTGAGAGAGAGAGAGAGGGGGGGAGAGTGTGTTTATGGAATTTTATTCTTTTCGTGATGAGAAGGGGGAACGGGGCGAGGTGAGGTGGGGCGGGGAGCAGTAGTAAATGTTTTGCTTTTTTTTTTTTTTTTTTAAAATATTTATATGTTATAAGTTTGTGGAAAGGAAAGCAAAGGAAAAGGCTAAAAGTAATTAAAATTTTAAAGAATTTTAATTAATAAAATTAATTTGTAAAAATGCGTGCAAATGACATCTGACATAAGGAACTACTAATGTGTGCTGCTTGCTTGCTTGCTTGCTTGCCTTTTCGTAGTAGTTAATTAAATTTTTTTTTTTTTTATTAATAATAATTTCTTTCTCCGTTTCTTTCTGTATTCCCCCCCCCCCAAAAAAAAAAATAGAGAGAGAGGGGAGGAAAAAACGAAAATAAAATTGAATATAATAAGAATAAAATAATAAAATAACTAAATGAATAAACGGTTGGGGGAAAAAATGAGAGAGAGAGAGAGAGAGAGAGAGAGAGAGAGAGAGAGAGAGAGAGAGAGAAATAGAGGAAATATTTAAGCCCGTTCAGGAACTAGCACGGCCAATCAATATCGTTTCATTTTGTGTGAGGGTCTCTCGCAATTTTTCTTTCTTCTGCTTTTCTTCCACGATTTTCTCTCAATGAGCTTTTTTTCGTTTTTTTTTTTTTTTGGTTTCCCCTTTCTCTCTCTCTCTCTCTCTCTCTCTCTCTCTTTTCTCGCGATTTTCCTTCTCGTAACAGCTTTTGCAACGATGATATATTCTTTCAGCCAAATGATTTTCATTTCGAAAAAAAAAGAAGCAAATGAAAAACGGAAACTTTCACTCGTAATGTCATCATTTTTCTTTTAATTTTTTTTTTTTTTTTTTATTTCTATTTGTTTGTTCTTTCTTTCGTTTGTTTGTTTGTTTGCGTGTGCGTGCGTGAGTGCGTGTTTGTTTGTTTGTTTCGGCGTAAAACGTTCGTTTGTAAGTTAGAAAATTCAATCGATGACGTTTTTGTGTGGGTTACAAACGTATATTATTCATCATCATCATCATCATCATCATCATTATTTTAATGAGAAAAGAAAAGAAGAAAAAAAAATGTCTAATTTATATAATTGACGGATTTTCGATTTAGAAATTGAGTCGAATTTCACCTTCGAAAATTTCTAATTTAATTAGAATAGAAAATGAAAAAGATGAAAAACGCGATGAAATCGATAGGAAATGCGAAACTTTTACGTCGTTTGACAAACAAATCCATTCCGATCCTGAATTATTAAGGTTCTAAAAAAAAAAAGGGAAAAAGGAGACCAGAAACGGGATCAATGAGAAATCATTTTAAAAATGGGGGAGAATTTCGAATGGTGAAAAATTTATTTTATTCTTAAACATTTTCCCGAATTCGTAACAGGCGCAGTAAAATTTCTTTTAAACAACTTCTAAGCCATCCATTTTGATTCTTAAAACGTTTGGTTGGTTGACTTATCATCATCATCATCATCATCGTTACTTTTCTTTCTTTATTTAGTCAAAAAAAAAAAAAAAAAAAAGTTCGGACTGCTACGAGCAGATACGAAATTAAGAATTATCATACTCATCATCATTATTTTTTTACCTAATAAATATTTTATTATTATTATTATTATTATTTGAAAGTCCGAGATTATTTGAAAACGGTAAAGTATTTAATAATGTTGAATTTTGCCCACTAACAAACCGCCATAATTGGTAAAGAAAAACTTTTTAAAAAAATGTCTTCCGAGATGTATATTTGCTAAAAAAACCGTTAATTTCGACTCGTTTTTCTTTTTATTAAAAAAATTTATTAGTATGTATAATTTCGCGTGTTTTCCCATCCTTTTTCCCTCTCTCTCTCTCTCTCTCTTTCTCTCTTTTCCCCTTTTCCATGTTTTCCGTTTTGAAATCGGGAACGAATTTTTTAAAAAAAAAAATAAAATAAAATAAAAATTTATTTCATCACGGGGATATCATTTGTTAATTTGTTAAAACGTGACAGTGCGTGTGTGTGCGTGTGCGTGTGCGTGTGCGTTCATTTCCATGTATTAAACATAAACGATGATGAATCCGTTCGCGAAAAAAAAAAAAAAAAATCCACGTCAGGATTTAAAACTGGAAAATTTATATATAAATTTTCCTTTTTGGAAAAAGTTTTTTTTTTCTATTTCAACACTCCGTGACAAAGAAAGAAAGAAAGGAACGGAAAAGGAAAAAGAGAAAAGAAAAAAAATTAAAAAGTTAAAAGTTTCGTTTTGAATAAGCTGAGAAGGGGAAAAAAAAAAAAAGGAAAAAAGGAAAGGAAAAAAAGGTTTTATGAATGTGCACATTATGTTTGACTTGTGTCTCTACCATTTAAATTTTCACCTTTTCTTCTTTTTTCTTTTTTTTTTTTTTTTTAAAGAGGACCGCGGCGTTGCCATGGTTTTCGTGAAAATGGGGAAAATTCTAAAATCTTATTCGGTTCGTTTCGAACGAGTGTATATATATGTATATAAAGAGCGAACGCGTGCACGCATTTAAATATACGTTCGCGCGTGTATATACGAACGATGCGTACGCTAACAAAAATTTTCCCTTTTAATGATGAGTTTTCTTTTCTTTTTTTTTTATCATTTGATAAATAACGAATTTGCGAAGGGTTTTCCTCCCTCCCTCCCTCCCCCTTTCCCTTTCCTCCCCGCGTTTTTCCCTTCCCTCGATTTTCTATGAATTTCGCAAAAGGTTTTTTCCAAGAGGTTTTTCTTTTCGATTTTCATAAAATCTTTTAGTCGAGTGTGCGAGTGTGATTTTACCGCAGCAAAAAAGAAAAAATAATAATAATAATCCTTTCGCACGATGAAATTTTCTTTTGTTGCTTCGAAGCCTTATTATTATTATTATTCTCTGGGTTATTATACAACAGTTAAATTGACTTCAATATATATATATACAAATCCCGATTTCCCAAAGGGGATTAAATTTCTCCTTAACTCGGGGTTTATTAGTTTGAAAATTTTTAATAGGGGATCTCACATTTTTAAAATGTGAGATTTTCCGAACAAAAGCTCACGGGAACCGAGATCACAAAAAAATTGCGGGTGTCGGTTGTTGTTTGTTTTTTGTTATACCTAAGATTCCGAGAATTCATTTCCTATTCTTTTTTCTATCCCACTCACACGCGCACACTCACCATCCGTATTATTATTATTATTATTATTTGGCATACATTTAAAGTCGAGAGGGAGGGGGGGTGGGAAAAAAACAAACTCAAAAGCAATTTAATATTTTAAAAAGTTGTTGTTGTTGTTGTTTGCCGTTTGTTTGTTTGTTTTTTAATAAAAAAAAATTAAATTTAAAATAAAGTTTTTTTTTTTTTTTGAGGGAGAAGGGTTTTTCTTTTTTATATCTTATTTTATATAGGGGGGGGCGTATTTTCAATTTTCGGGGGGGGGGTTGGGAAGGAGAAGGAAAACATATCGTGAATGTGAATTTTTTTTCTTTCTTTTCTTTTCTTTTTATTTTTCGTTCGGTCAAATTGTGTTCAATGACCGTAACTGGACTAATTATGGTAAAACAAGTCGTAATATTTTATATATATACCACATGTATACGCACGATAAATATCATTATTATCATTATCATTATTATTATTATTATTATTATTATTATTATTATTATTATTGTTAAAAAAAAGAAAAGAAAACGTCGTAACGTTCGCGGGTGCGTATCGTAAATAAATAAATAAATAAATAAAAAACAAAGTAAATGTAAACTGTCATCAATCCGGTCAAAATGATTGTTTGTTGTTGTTGTTGTTGTTGATTCTTCGATGTTTGTTTGTTGTTTGTTGTTGGTTTGTATCGATTGCGGTTATGTTTCCATAAAAAGAAAAGGTGAGCGTCCTGATTATAAAAAAAAAAAAAAAAAAAAAATTTACCGTGTAAATGTTTTAAAGGAGGCGGTCAAAAAAAATATACGGAGGTGGTTAAAAAAAAAAAAAAGCTTACTTAGCTTATGTAAAAAAAAAAAAAAAATTTTTTTTTTTTTATTCTTCCAGGTTGTCTTTTTTTTTTTTTTTTGATGTTAAAAAAACGACGACAAAGGTTATTATTATTAATACAGGTTTCGAACATGGATAAACAGGAAAAAATATTTCCATACCTATTTAAATAATAATAATAATAATAAAAAGAGGAAGGTTTTTGTTTTTTTGTTTTTGTTTTTTTCACGGTTTTTATCAATTTTCTCGCGACGTTTCGTCGTTTTGTCGTTTATTAAAAGGTATTTACGGTATTGTATTTATTGTATTTAAGGTATTTTTTTAAGGTACGATTAAACAATTACGACGCGGTCAAATGTAATAATCAAAAAAAATTTACGGAAAAGAAAGAAATTCTATTGTGTTGAGAAAATTATCACGTATAATGAAAATTTATTTTTTACGATTTTTTGTTGTACGTATGTGACAAACGACAAACGATCAAACGATCAAACGAACAAACGATTGATTGTTTTTGTTATTTAATTGAAATGAAAATTCAGGATCGTTTTGTCTCATTTTTTTTTTTTTCATTTCAGGTGTGATACTTAATGATTTAATTAAATATTACGAACCTGCCATGTATGTTCCGGAGGACATAAGAAATTTTCACAGGCGTCGAAGAAGAGGAATCGATGGTGTCCCCTTTAACAAACCCTTGAGAATCAGTTTTAAAGCTCACGACAGGTAAGCCTGTGATTAAGTTTATAAAAATAATAATAATAACGACGACGATGACGGTGACGGTGACGATGACGATGACGATGACGATGACGATGACGACGATGATGACGTCAAAAACATTTTTTATTAATTTAAATGGCGTGAAAATTGAAAAAATATTCCGCGCTGTTTTTTTTTTTCGGGGGGGGGGGTGAGGGGAGGGTGGTTTTTGTTTACGTACGTTTCTTTTTAATTTAATTATAAAAAAAAAAAAAAATGACATTTGATGACGTCAAAAGTGATGATGACACGTAAAACCTCTTTTCCTTTTTCGTGTTTTTTTTTGCCCCTTCGCCCACAAATTTTTTTAATTATTCAACTTTTAATTACAACGTTTCGGTTTTTTTTTTTTTTGGGGGGGGAATGAAAAGGTACAGGTACGCGCACACGTATGTGGGAAAAAAAACGATGGATTTTATTTCGCATTACGATTAATGAATAAATAAACGAACGGGGATTAAATTGTAAAAAAAAAAAAAACAATTAGCAATTAATTTCGTTTACGATGGAACAAAAAAGTAAAAGTTAAATAATTATTATTATTATTATTATTTGAAAAAAGGAAAAAAAAGTCGTCAATAGAACTCTCATTCTCTCTCTTTCTCTCTCTCTCTTTATTAACGCGCATAATTTTACCTTTTTTTTTTTTTTTCCATGACGATCATTATTCGTCGTAACGAGGTGAAAGAAAAATGTCTGACAATTTGTTTAACTACAAAAAAAAAAATTTTTTTTTTTTTTTTCATTACGATAGGTAAAAGTAAAAATGAATTATATCAATTTTGACTTTTGCTATTATTATTATTATTATCATTATTATTAGTACTATTATTATTATTTTTAATTTTCAAAGCGTAAAAAAAAAAAAAAAAAAATTAATTACACACTCTCGTCTCGAGCAAGGGTTATTAAAATAAAATCATTCATTAATTTCGTTTTCGTTTGTTTTTGTCTCACGTCACGTGATTTTAAAAAAAATGATAATGATAACACGGTTTAAAAAAATAATAATAATAATAATAATAATAATTCATCATTTATGTACGGTTTTTCGATTTATTATAAGGAAATGCTAGTAATGATAATAATAATTATTATTATTTGAAGTTATCATCATCATTTTCCTCTCTCTCTCTCTCTCTCTCTCTCCCCTCCCCTCCCCCTCTCCTCTCCTCTCCTCGCTCGAATAAATCGCGAACGAAGTATAATTTAATGTTAATGATAATTAAAGTAACAAAATTATTAAATGGGTTGTTGAGAAAGTTTTTCATTTTTTTTTTTTTTTGCTGAATCGTCATATGATGGATTTCGATGAGAATAATTTTTTTTTTTCCTCCTCCTCCTTCTTCTTCTTTTCTTTTTCTACTTCCTCTCTTTCTCATTATACCTAAATTCTATCGTTGGAAGGAAGAAAAGAAAAAGACTAATTTTTTTTTTTCTCGCCATAATAATTGATGCGATTTTGGGGGGATGTGTTATTAAAAGTTTAAAAAAAAAAAAAGCAAATAATTAAACAAAAATGGCAACGTCGCAAAGTGTTTGAGAGAAAACGGAAAATGGCCGCGAGAGTTGTAATGGAAAATAATTTTTTTTTTTTTTTTTTTTACTTATAAGGACGCGGCCTCCAAGATATAAATAAAAGAAAAAAAAAATTTAATATAAGATTAAATCAGGATTTAGGTTCGTATATTAAACGTTATTGAAATCAGGTACGGAATAAAGTGTTTGCGTACTTCTTGCGAAGGTAATTAAATCAAGGAAATGAAAAAAACCTAGAATATAAATAGAGAGAGAGAGAGGGGGGGCGAGAGAGAGAGAGAGAGGGACGAAAATCGTAGGATGTTTATTTAAAGAGAAAAACACGTTAAATTTCGGCACAAAAAAAAGAAAATGGCCGACGTAATTAAATGAGATTTACTTTTTTCGTTTCAGAGAATTTAATTTAATTTTAAGAACAGACGACAGAATATTTGCCGATGATGTCGTTTTCGATGCGACGTCACGTTCGGTCATGTACGACACTCAAAGGGTATACACTGGAGTGCTGGAAGGTAAAAAAAGAAGTCACAAACGCAAAAAATGATTCTCTTCCAAAACCTGAGTTTTCACGTATTTTTTTTTCTTTGGTCGCAGGTGAAGAAGGTTCTTTGGTTCAGGGTATAGTGACCAAAGATGGACTTTTCGACGGAACTATATTTTCAAAAAATGAAATTTTTTACATAGAACCCGTTTCGAGGTATACGCCGTCCAATAACGAACAACACCAAAATTTCACGTCTTTGCCCCATCAAATCCACACGATCATTTACAAGACGACCGATGTGAAAATCCCTCCATCTTTAAACAAAACATGTGCCTCACAAAATTTATACTTATCTAGAATAAAGCAAAATACTAACGACGAATCCATTGGTTATTCTGGAAAGGGGAAAAGGTTTCTCAGGCACGAAAAAAATGGTGGTGATCGTTACCGTAGTAGTAATGTTAATAATAATGATTATTACGAATACGATAACGATGGTGATGACGATGACGACGATTATAATATTAGTAATAATTATAATAATAATAATAATAATAATAAAAAACGTTTTTTAGAAAAAATTTTAGATAGAAGTGAAAATAATAAAAATTCTACCGTTACGCGTCATAAAGAAAAAAAAAAAAGTACAAAAAAAAATGGCGTTTCTTCTAGTCTTCCCGTTGTTGTTAGTAGTCACGATGGTTTAAGCAAATCAAATATATTAAAAACTTATTTTAATTCGGACGAATACGATCGGACTCGTAGGAAAAAAAAAGTGAACGATAACGGTTTCGTCGATGTTTTTAAATACCGACCGAAAGTTCAGTTAAACGATTTTAAAATAATTACAAATAATAATAATAATAATAACAACAATATGGTGAACCGGCCTAAAATAATAACGAAATCCCAAGGGAAGAATAATGAGTCAGAAAACGAATCGTTGAAACACGTGATTAAAAGAGCAACGATTGATCCGAAGAAAACTACCTGCATGCTGTACCTGCAAGCTGATCATTTATTCTATCAAAAATACGGTACGGAAGAAGCTTGCATAGAAGTCATGACGAGACACGTTCAAAGAGTCAATTCGATATATAAAACGACGGGTGATTATTTTTTTTCGTTCTGCACTCTTATTGGTCCTTCCTGGAGAAGGAAAGTAATGATAATAATAATAAAGGCAATGGTTGGATTTGATTTTTTTTTTTTTCCAGATTTTAATCAGGATGGTAAAAGCGACAACATAAGTTTCATGATAAAAAGGATTAAGGTTCACACCGTCGAATCGAGTAAAGATCCGAGTTATCGTTTTCCCGGAAATTACGGAGTGGAAAAATTTCTCGAATTGTTTTCCGAAGAAGATTACGATGCTTTTTGTCTCGCTTACATGTTTACGTATCGAGATTTCGAAATGGGTACTTTGGGTTTGGCTTGGACGGGTGATTTGAAAAATGCCGGAGGAGTCTGTGAAAAAAATGGAGTAAGTCTTCATATTATTATTATTATTATTATTATTATTATTTGAAAATCGAAGTGATTGTAACAATTAATTGATTCTTATTTAATTTTAGCATTATCGTGGAAGTTTGAAAAGTCTCAACACGGGTATCGTCACGTTATTAAATTATGGAAAACACGTACCTCCAGCAGTGAGTCACGTGACTTTGGCCCACGAAATCGGTCATAATTTTGGTTCTCCGGTGAGAATATTTATTTTTTATTAAAAAAAATTAATTTTTTTTTCATCACTCATAATAATAAAATTTAATTTTAATTTATTACAGCACGATCCGGAATCTTGCACTCCTGGAGGAGAGGATGGAAATTACATAATGTTTGCAAGAGCAACTTCCGGAGACAAGAAAAATAATAATAAATTTTCGCCTTGCAGTTTGAACAGCATCAATCCTGTACTTAATACCAAAGCCAGAAGTCAAATGGGATGTTTCACGGGTAAGTCGTTTTTTTTTTTTTTTTTTTGAAAATTTTCCTTAAAACCTTTTTTATTTTTCGATTGCGTGCATAAAAAAAAAAAAAAAAAAATTACAGAGCCGCAAGTTGCCATTTGTGGAAATGGCGTCGTGGAAGCTGGAGAAGATTGCGATTGCGGGTGGGAAGAAGATTGTAGAGATTCTTGCTGTTATCCCCAACGACGATATCCACCTCCGGGAGAGCCTCCCTGCAAGCTCACTCCCAACAGTATATGCAGTCCCTCGCAGGTTTGTTACGCACCTGCGATTACTTACCTTTTTTACAAGTTTTTATTCTCACGTAAACCTTTCTTTTTTATAATAAAGGGACCCTGTTGCACTTCCGAATGTCAACTTAAATTCGGAGATAAATGCAGAGACGACAACGGATGTCGTGATTCGAGTTATTGCGATGGTCGATCCGCGTCTTGTCCTCCATCAGTCAATAAACCCAACAAAACGATTTGCAACGACGAATTCGTTTGTTTCATGGGAGTGAGTAATAAATGCAATGATTTGTCGTATTGTCCGACATTCTCCATGACGAATTTAATATTTTCCCCTTGAAATTTTTTTTCAGGAATGTACCGGATCCATATGTCTTGCCTACGGTTTGGAATCGTGTCAGTGCATGCCAGGGCCTAAAGATTCGTCGACGAAGGCTTGCGAATTATGTTGTAAAAAACCTGGAGATGATCAGCCTTGCATGTATGTTGAATTAAAAAAATGGCGACTCGCTCGTTAAAAAATTTCATTTTTTTTTTTTATTAATTTTTAAACGAAATTATTTTCAGTTCTTCGTTCGATTGGAACGATGCGCCCTACGACGTACCCGATATGTTTTCCAAACCCGGTACACCGTGCAACGATTACAATGGTTATTGTGATGTCTTCCAAAAATGTCGCGAAGTCGATCCGAGCGGTCCACTCGCGACTCTAAGAAAATTATTATTATCAGAAGAAAGTTTAGCGATATTTAAAAGATGGGTAACCGAACACTGGTACACGGTTTTGGCAATCGTCGTGTCGATACCATTTTTATTGGTGAGTTTGATTGATTGATTGATTGATTGATGAAAATGTGACAATCAAGCACAAATTTTAATTAATAAAAAAATTTTTTGTAGGCCCTGAGCACAAAACTCTTGGGAAAACATCAAGACGTCAAATTAAAATCCGTTACCATAATTCATAGTGCGACAACCGAAACCGTTAGACTTCCACCGGAAGGAGATGCCGGCCTCACGGTTCATCCACAGGCTGTGAGAACTAAATTACCTCTTCATCGCAAAGTGCGAGAGAAAAAATTACATACCAAAGTAGTGTCGAAAAGAAAGAGTAAGAAAACCGAACCGGAAGAAGACAATAAGAAAACGGATTTATTAAGTAAAAATATTAGAGAATCTCAAGAGGGTAAAAAATTGGAACTCTTAAATAAAAGTATTAAAGAATTGGAAAAGAGTGTGAGTAAGAAACCTTCCAGCAATGTTAAAAAGTTGGAACAACAAAAAAGAATAGAAGTGCAAAAAACTAGTCATGCACTCATCGCGTCGTCGAAGGCTGTTTCAAAATCAAGAGAGCAAAAGGGGGGGGGGAAATCACCGGAAGACACCGGACGACATCACAAAACCTCGAGAGATAAACATCACATTGCAGATCGTCAAAAGGTCAGTAAAAAGCATCAAAAACCGGTCGTAGAAGAAACTTGCAAGGAAGTAGTAGTAAAAACAGATGGAAATTCAAAATTGTTGCAATCCGTCCCGGAACAGAATAAAAAGGACGCGGATTTAAAAACTAGTTCCGGTAACAACAATTCCTCGTCGCACCCGGTTACACCCGAAGAGGAAGAAGAACCGATTTACGAAAACATTGACGGAGTGAGTGCGAAGGATGTTTGCATCGTTAACGAAGAGGTCGAACAAAAAACGAAGGGCAGTCGAAATAAACGGTCCAGCAGAATCCTAACGGAAATTAATGAACCGAAATCAAAGGACGATTCAGATGAGAAAAAGAAAAAAAGTCCAACGAAAGTTGTGACGAAGAAAAGTTCACCTTCGAAAACGTCACCGAAAAAGAAAAAGATGAAAACGGAAATAATTGAGTATAATAACGACGAGAGTCGGATAAACGCCTCGACGAAAACCTCAGGGATCCCCGCGGAAGATCCTCTGGGAAAAGTACAAAACTGGTTACTTCATTCTATTTCGACGGGGAAAACGAGTGAAAATTTCGGTATAATGACTTTGACTCTTCCGAAATCGAAATCGAGTCCTGTGGGATTGTCGAACAAGTCAAAAACGGCGGATCATCATTTGAAAATAATAAATCATCCGAAAATAGTGCATAAAAACGACAAAGTCGTACAGATACCAAAACTAACGCAAAAAAGATCGCGGAGCACGGGAAATTTAAGAAAACCGGATAAGAAAGATGAGAAAATAAAATTGCAAGTGGTTTATAAGCCTCCGTTTAAGTTTAGCGTGAAACTACGTAAGAACAGAGTTTTAAGCGCGATCGGAACGAAAATCCTCGATGAAAAAACGACGAATCAAACGACGACGACGATGACGAGAAAACAATCGAACAACAACAACAACAACAATCACGTCGGAAACGGAAATGAAAAAATTCAAAGAGCGGCCGTTCTCGTGAGAACATCCAGAAGACATTCGAAACAAAAATCGGAAAATAAAAAAGGAAAACATTCGTCGCCTCAAACGACGACGTCGTCATCCTCTTCGCCGAACAAGGACAACAACAACGCGACGGAAAATCCGTTCACTTTTCCATCTGGTGTCGCACCCATGACCGCACCCTCCATAAATTCTAAACAGCTTCCCATTTATCTGACAGATCAAGCCGACATTGATTCGAACATGCACACGGTTCCCTCGGATTTGGACGTTTTGCTTTCCGAAAGTAAATTTTTATTTTCCGACCAGTAAGGAAAAACTCGACGTTTCCTCGCGACGTTCTTCAAATCCATTATTATTATTATCATTATTCAATGGGAATTTTTTTAAATTTTCGACTTTAAATCACGTGACGTGCCAAAAAATAAAAAAAATGTTTTAAATCCAACCAGTCAAAGTTTATACGACAAACGATGAACAAACGAGGATGCAAACGTATTCGTTCGACTCCTCCTTTCCCCTCCCTCCTCTCTTTTTTTCCTCCCACCTCTCTTCCCCTACCTCCTCCCCTCCCCTTCTCCCGTACCTTCCCCTCCCCGACCGTTAAAAATTTATTTTTTTACTTAAAAAAAAAAAAAAAAACCGTTACGAATGAGAGTAAACGTTACGTATGACGTAATAATAACACGTGATAACCGTTATCACGATAACGCGTGCATTGCACGTATATATATATATTTATATTAATTAAAAGAGTAATTAAATAATAATTTTTTTTTTTTATTAAAAGAAATTAGTGCCACACGAACATGTTATAAATAAAAAAAAAATAATTAATGATAATAATAATAATAATGTAAATTATCATCATCAATATTATTATTATTATCGATAATAAGTTAATTAATTAATTATTAAGGCTGAATGATGAATTATTTAACTGCCTCACAATCGGTTAAAAAAAAAAAAAAATTAAAAAATTTTCATATCAATTATAATAATAATAATAATAATAATAATAATAATAATAATGAGTGAATTAATTTTTTTTACATGTAGGTATGTATCGAAACGAACAAATAAATAAAAAATAATAATGATAATATTTGAGATTTAATATTACAAAAAAAAATTCCATTTTTTATAATTAACATCTATGATTATAATATCCTTGTGAAAATAATAATAATAATAATAATAAAATATCCGCCATATTTAAAAAAAATAATTATTATTATTATTATTATTTACGTCGATAAATGTATATTAAATGATAAAAAATGCATTTTGTTATCGCTGGAAGAATAAATTGTCCAAAATTTTCTTATGCCATAATGATTGCTCAAAGGTTAAAAGAAAATTTACCGGATTTTTCATATTTGAAAATTTGTAAAAATGTCAAAGAATGGGACGTGAGTAAATCCTTTAAAATAATGATAATGATAATAATGATGATGATGATGATGATGATGATAATGTTTTTATTTTTTTTTTTAGAAATATTTATTGTGCATGAGAAAAGAATATAATTGGTGTCACATGGATTCACCCCTCATATGGAGAGAAATCGGTTTGAAAAAAGGAAAAAGAGAATATATTGGTTCGTGGTAATTAGGATTGAATAAAAGAAAATTTTCGTGGTCACGTGATGATTAATTTTTTCCGTTACAGGTAACATAAATCGATTTTTGGATATTTGTTACGATTATTACGGTATATCGAAAGAAATAATCGGTGGACAGGGATTTAAAGAATCCGAAATGAAATGGTTTAGAAATCGTACGGAAGAAGAATATTATAAAGATATCAAATTAGAAGCTAAAAAAAAACGGGAATATAAATCCAGGCAAATATGCATAACTGGAGCGTCGTCTTTTGTCGCAGAAGTATTAATTATGGAAATACTACAACTTCGCCTTCAAAGTAGGAAAGATGGATTGGTGTGATTCGATTATCCTTTTTTTTTTTAAAGAGAATTTTCCTTTCCCCTTCCCCTTCCTTCCCTTAAGAGAGTCCTTTTATTGTCATTTGGCAAACTTTTGTTTTTTTTTTTTTTTTTTTTTTTTTCTTTACAGGAAATCCGTTTGTTTGACGATCCTAAAAAAATGGAAAAATTATCTCATTCAGCAAGCGATGCAAATTTTTGTCCTGGTTTGTCTGGTTTTGGTAATTGCAGAATTGCACACACTTTAAAAGATGCACTCACGAATATCGATCTCGTTATTGTTTTGGATGCTTTTTTCAGGTAAGTTTACATAATAATTATTTACTTATTTGTACCACCACCACCACGACCATCATCCCCTACTTCATCTTTGAATGTAGAAAACCCGAAGAATCTCTTGCAAGATGGCTTAAAAGAAATCGTAACGCTATGTGTGCTCTTGGTAAAGCTTTAAATAGTTACGCACCACCTCATTGTCGCGTCATTATCGGAAGTCCGAGCAATCAACCGATTTGTTACAATGCAACGGTTTTAGCCAGTTTTGCGACAAAACTTCACGTTCGAAACATTGTCGCAGTTACGCAAGATTTAGGAAGGGAAACTTTAAGATTAGTATCGTCCGTGAGTTTTCCCTTTTTTTTCCCCACTCCGTTTCCTTCCTTTTCATTTTCATGACGTCATTGATTGGATGGGTTGCAGAAAATAAAAGTACCCACAGCGGAAATGTATTGTCCACCCGTTTGGGGTTTTATCGGATTAAATAAATTTGTCGACATTCGTAAAACGTTACAAAATAATGTTTATAAAGTACCCGGACTCCGTAAAAATTCAACATTGCCACAAGGTTCGGAAGAATTTGAATTAAGAACGATCGATTGTTTGATGACGGATTCTGATACTTGCGACATACTCGTTAAAGTATCCGAACATAAGGTACTCGATATAAACGAAGGAAACATAAATTTTTCTTAATTTTTTTTTTTTCTTAACAATTATTATTATTATTATTTGCTCCTGGTACCTTTATTTTACAGTCGGAATCTTATCCTCAATTGGGAAGATGGCCTTGCATGGCAAAAGCAACGGCCATTATCGATTTATTAAAACTTTGGGGTCTAGAACAAAAAGATGGAAATGATGAAATTATTTGTTTGGGAGTTTATTCGGATGGTAAATTTACAAAAAAAAAAAAAAAAAAAAAAAATCAAATGGCTCCCCCGGTATTATTATTATTATTATTATTTTTATGTTTTACTTCAAAGGTACATTTAGCATACCTCACGGCGTTTATTGGTCACAACCCGTAATATTAAGAAATGGTTTTTGGATGCCATTTCCGGATTATCCGGTACCTCGAGACTACGATTTCAACGGATATTATTTATTTTTAGCAAGTTTGGCTGCTTTATACAGAACGAAAATAAAACCCAGACGATATAGTTTTCCAGATAAGATAAACAAGAAAACATTAAAAAAATTTAATTTCGATAAAATAATTAAAGAAATGGAAATGCCGGTCATACGAACGGATGCGGAATGTGTGGAATATTTAAAAATTTTAGCCAAAAACGAATTGGGAATCGATTTTTCCGAAGACGATGAAAATTTAGAAGAAGAACCGGAAGAAATCAAATTACCCGAACCCGTTAAAAGAGAAGAATTATATTGCGAATGTTGGAGAAACGAATTGAAAGAACTACAAAAAGTTATTTTTTATAGGCCTTCGTCGACGGAAATAGAAATTGATTTGAGCGATAACGTTTCCGGTTCCGAATGGTCGATCGTTAATCCAAATTCATCTTATCATTCGAGTAATGTGTAATTTTTATGCGTCATCGACTTTCCCGAAACGAAAAAAAAAAAAAAAATAAAAAAAAATAAACGATGTAAATTATTTTTTAATTAGTTACAAACAAATTCGTGAATGAAAAAAAAAAAAATGAAAAGAAAATGAAAGAAAAGAAAAACGTTGAAGAAAAACCGGAAGTCGTGGATAAAAAATCGGAAACACTTCAAAAAAAATCTTCCCCGCAAACGGTATCGACGGTTTGTTCCTGCGGCGAATTGTCAACCGGTTTTATATGCGAATGTTTAGGTTTTTATTTTATTCTTTTAAAACAAAAAAATATTATTATTATTATTATTATTATTATTATTACTAAACGTTGTCATTATTTTTAAGGTACGAAGAAATCCGTGGAAGTAAGTAGATGTAAATTGATAATAATAATTTTAACTTGATCCCACACGAACTTAAAGAAAAAAAAAAAATTAAAATTGACATAAAATTAGGGTGAAAATATATCGACGGAACATTTTTACAAAGAACAAAATGCAACCATTTTCGAAGATGACCTCAAAGATGTCATCTATGCAGACACGTATGCAGAAGAAAGACGGGTGACGTTTCATCCGGACGATATGACAGAAGATAAAGTGAGTCAATTACCGAGAAAATTCTATGGTAAAAAAGATGCCATACGAGATCCCAAAGCGGTTTCCAGAATGAAAAAAATAATATTTAATTACGATGGTGGAGAAGGCGGAGAAGGCGGAGAAAGTGTCGTGGAAAAAGAAATTAGTGAAACGAGCGAGGAAAGTGAAAAAAATTCGGATGATAAAAGTGTGGACGATCCTAAATTTCACATAAAAATCGATGGCGCGTCCTACGATATCATCGGTGATAAAACCGGTAAAAATTTAACCGTTTTAATAAATAGTGATAATGATGATGATGATGATGATGATGATAACATCATCCTAATATTTCAGGTTTTGAAAATTTAGAAATGCACAGAGGTGATAAAAGTAAAACATCGGCAAAAAGTTTTAGAGATATGTACACGGATGAAATACCTCCTTCTCTTCAAGTCATACCTCCTGATTTTATTAAATCCGATTCATTTACCGAATCTGATACTCCTGTACCTGAAGAAACCGAGGGAATGGAATTAAAAATAAAAAGTTTTAAAAGTGTACCGGAAAGCGAAGAAGGAGAATGGCTGGGAGAAATATCGATATCGACACCGACACCGATTTCAATAGAAGATGATGTCGATGCTGTTTTCAAAAAAGATTTCTCTTTATATAGCGAAGAGGACAGATTTAATGAATACAGAGGAGAATATGATTTTTTTATTGATGGAGACAGAGAAAAAGGAGGATCAGAAGAGGGAGAGGAAGAAGAAGATGACAAATTTTTAAAAAGAGGAAAGGTACCCAAATGGAAAAGAGAAGGAATACCTTTGTGTTGTTTGTGTCGGTGCGTTTTACCCGAAGGATTGCCTTGTTGTCCTTGCGGTGGAACAACAGGTTATAAAAAATTTACTCATTTTATTTATTACTCTATGACATTTTTAAAAATTAAATATAAATTCGATTTTCCATTTTTTTTTGGTTTCAGTCGTTGAAGTTTTCAAAAAGGAATCCATTGCGGTAAGTTAAGATGATAGCAAAAAAAAAAAAAATTAATTTTTTAATAAAAAGAAAAAGAAAAAAAAATGTCGGCTTTTGTCAGGTTTACGTACACAGCGAAGACGATATGGATTACAGAATCGAATATTTGGAAAAATACATTCCGCCAGAATCGATTGTTTCGTCTGAAATAGTACAGGAAATAATTGAAGAACCGAAAGAAGTAAAAGCACTTCCGCCGGAATCGTTTTTCCCATTTTCACCCAAGATACCAAACGTATTTAAAGAAAAAAAAAGACCCGAAGAATTAACAAAAAGTTATTTGAAAACATTGAGAAATGATCCGGAACCGGAAATGCCGAAAAAATGCGCCGAAGTAAAATTTACTTATTCTTTTTACACGATTAATAATAGGTGGGGAGGGGGGGCGGTGGGAAAAATGATTTTTACTTATCGTTTGTAATTTTTTTTTCCGTTGTTGTTGTTTCTCCAGCTTTTAAAAGAAGCAAGAAAACAAATGGAACAAGGATTATACAAAGTGAAAAATAATTATAAAGAACTCGACGATGATTTGAAAAAATTATTTATGGAAGCGTGCACGACCGAAGAATCCCCCTGTAAAGCCGATTATTCAAAAGTTAATTTATTTCTTCCAGATGGCATTGAAGACTGGAGATTAACGGTTTTTTTTTCCTCCTCCTTCTTGTTCTTCTTTTTAAATTTTATTTTATTTTTTTTCCCTAACATTTTAATTTTTTTTTTTTTTTTCTTTTTCCTAAACAAGGTTCAAACGAAATATCGTGAATGGTTTTACCAAGGACCAAATCTTAAAGATGATTCTTATTATGATATAGCAGTTGAAGAAATATCAGAAGATGAATTTGAAATCGATAAAGAACTTGAAATTTATTTCGAAATGTGATTTCCCTGACACGCCCCGCCCCCTCCCACTCATCATCTACTTCCGTTTCTGCTTAAAACATGGCTGCTGTTAATTATTTGTTTCATTTCAATAGATATATTTCATTTTAAACAAAAAATTTTTTTCCTTTTCCCTCCCCTCCCACAACTTTCTCCCTCCCTCAACACAACATTTTGATGTTTTTTTTTTTAATTTAATATTTTTTTTAGTAATTAATTAAATTAATAAAAATAGAAAAGGAAAGTAAAAAAAGGAAAAAAAAAAACGTTTGATTGTATATTTTGACTAGAAAATTTAGAAAAAAAAATGGTTGTGTAAAATAAAATTTTTGATTGTATTTTGAATTTTAACTTGTGGATATTATCATCATCATTATTGATGGAGCTTTTTACAGGTAAGGCTTCGACTTTGAAATTTCATGGTGAGCAGACGACGACGACGACGACGACGACAATTTAATATATCGTGTTTTCTCTCTCTCTCTCTCTCACACACACACACACACACACATTTAAAAATACTATAAAATAAAAGGAGGAAAACAGGTTTTAATTAGTTAGTATTAAAAGTGACGACACTGTCGAAAGACGACAAAAATTATTCGCGACAATGTTATTTTATTTAACGTATTTATTAATTATTCAATCGTGTTTTATCGAAGGTACGTATATACGTCGTTATTATCATAATAATAATGATAATTATTTGTTTAAAAAAAAAAGATTGATTTCAGGTCAAAAAAATAATAATAAAAATAATGGAAATGGTAATGGTAATGGTAATAATAAAAATAAAAAAAATAAATGGTACGGACCTTCGTATCAGCCAAGTTGGTGGAATCCAGAAGACGTTATCGATAATAAAATAGGAGAATTTTCTTACGTAGGTTCGAATTGTAAGTATTTATTATTATTATTATTATTTGGTGATGGGAAAAATTAAAGTCCTCTCGCTAAAGCCACGAGTGCTCCTATTAATGCGCATAAAACCGCCATGTGTATAGACCAATCCGCAATATCAATGGCTACCTTTTGTGCATTCGGACCGTCTTCGGATCTGAATACCTTTAAAAATAAAATTTTGCCCGGGGGGAGAGGGGGAGGTGAATTATTATTATTATTTCTATAGTGAAATTATAATGCGTCGTACCTGAAAAACTCCATACGCGGCACCTAAAAGCATACCAACAAGCATGCCATCAACCATACCGGATTTCATAGTCAAAATACAAGGACCTTTGCAAACCATTTTTTTTTTTTTTTCCCCTTTTTTTTCCTTTTTTTCCTTTTTTTTTTTCTCTCTTCTAAAAAAATTTATTTATTTTTTTAATTATTTTTTATTAAAATGAAATTGTAAAAAAAAAAAAAAAAAAAAAAAAAAAAAATGAAAACAAAATAATTGTAAAAAAAAAAAAAAAAAAAAAAAAATTGTGTTTATGTTTTTCGTATGTTTTTTTTTTGTCTTCTGTTTGTTTTTGTTTTTTCTTTTTTTATTTAAAAAAATTTTTTTTTCGAACGTTAAAAATTCGTTAAAGAAAAACACAACGATAAATAATTTCTCACTATAATAATTATTATTATTAATATATATTTTATCGAAACGGAAAAGGTTAATGACCCCGAAAAGGTTTTTTTGACTTTTGACGAGTAAAAACTTGTTAAAATATAATTCGAAATAACAACAATTTTTATTTTTATTTTTATAATTTATTATTATTATTATTATTAATATCATAAGGTTGAAACGATAATAATAATAATAATATTAGAATGATGGTGAATAACGGAAAAATTTAAATTTTCCGGTATCGATATAATAATAAATGTTTACATTTGAAAAATTTTTTGTTTTTATTTTCGCGGTTAAAAATCACGTGGTTCGAACAGAGGAAACCAGGGATTTTTATTTTATTATTATTATTATTTTTTGGGGGAAATTTGGCAGCAATTAAAATGTTTTATTCGGTTTTAAAAATGGCTGCAAAATTATAAGTATGACAGATTTATATTAAAACAAAAAAAAATAACAATAAATGTAATAATTTATAATAATAATAATTAATAATTAATGATAGAAGAATATAAAAGGAAAGGAATTATGGGGTATAATAGATAAATTTATTCTCTAAAAAAAATTTGACCTTATAAAAAAAAAAAAAAAAAGCAATGAATATATGCAACCAAGGTGCATCGTTCAAAGATGGAGCCGTGGAAGGTTGCCTCATTGGTTTGAGCATCGGAGTCGTTTTAGGGTCAATAAGAGCCGTGAGTTTGGATGGAGTCCCACATTCTGTCGATGAAACACCGTGTAAAACATTAATAACACACGTTATGGGCGGTATAATATCCGGAGCATTAATCGGTGTTGTTTATGTTTTTTTCAAAGAATGTTTGTTTAGATGACGAAATTATCACTTAATTAAAAACACAATTGTGTGCGTTCGTCCGTGCGTCCGTGCGAGTGGGAGTACGTGCGTTCGATTCCGCTACTTCTCAAATTTTTTTTTTTTTTTTTTTTTTTTATTAAATTTTTTTTTTATTAAATTTTTGACTCCGTGTCGAAGAAAATTTACTTATTATTATTAATTAAATAAAAAATAAAATAAAAAATAATAAAAAAAAAAAAAAAATAAATGAATACGTGTGAACGTTTTGTAAAATTTTACAATAAAAATTTATTTATTTATTTATTTATTAAAAATACGTTTTCGTGTTGTTTATCTGTCATTTATTATTATTTTACATATTAATAATAATAATATTTAAAAACTCGACAAACCGGAATTTTTAAATATTATAAATGCTAATCAGTTCGTAAATAAATAAAAATTTTAAATAATAATAAAAATAAAAATGGCGTCACGTTTAACCGATACGTATTTCGGTTATTTGTTGTTTATTGAATATATAAAAAATGAACGTGATTATATATATATATATATATATTTTTATTGTATGTACAATTTGAAAAATGTCAAAACGGTTCTCAATAGGCAACCCATCATTCCTCCTTGTAGTGCTCCCCTAAATATACGTTCCGGAAAACGGGGACCGCGTCTTCTCCCGAATAAAAAATGTATTGAAAAATTAATTAACGTGATTAAAGTTCCGATAATGGCTCCCGTTAGAAGACCATCGATAACTTCGATTTTTAATTCCGTTGTGTAATTTTTTAACATTTTTGATTTTGAATTTCCCTCCCCTCCCCTCACAAAAGAAAATCAATTAAAATTAATCGAGATAATGATGATGATTTAAAAAAAAAGACATGTCGAAACACAAATTTTTATTATTATTATTATTATCATCATCACAGCCTTTTTATAATTAACATTTTCTAGCGATAAATAAACTCGTATTAAATTTATTATATATATATATATATATATATATATATATATATATATATATATATATAAATAATAATAATGATAATGGGGTAAAGGGGGGTGTAAAAATTTTATATTATATTATTGATCGAACATTATTATTATTATACATTCGTAGAGTTTTCCCTCCTTGTTTTTGACTTAAAAGACAAGATGGAGTTTCGACAATGTTCGCCCACAAGAGTATGTTTCCAATGATACCCATAACGGCACCTCCGATCAATGCGCAACTGAATATTCTTCCGCCGGCATTTTCACCATCACCGGAAGTCGTCATAAAACCATAAATTAAACCGCCGAAGATTCCAATGGTAACCCAAGAAGCATTTCTTGAACTCACTTCAAGAACGACAGTTGCTCCCAACTGTACTGACATAAGACAATATATATATATATTTTGATTATTTTTTTTTTTTTGGGGGGGGGGGAGGGGGCGTAGGGGACGTCACGAACGAAACAGATGGGAAAAAGAAAAAAATTTAAAATCTTCGTTTTTTATAATTCATCCAAGTCACCGTAGCATTGTAAACAAATGCAAGAACAAAACCGTACAAGAACAAACGTTTTTGTTGAGGACTCAACGTCTTCCACATTTTAGCGCGTGTATGCGTGTGCGTGTGCGTGTGCGTGCGTGTGCGTACGGTATAATTTTCCCGAAAAAAAAGTAAAATTTAATTTAACCCGGAATTGAAATCTTGCGAAAAAAAATTACTAAAAAAAAATTGAATTTTCTATTGTTTACACCATTTTTATTATTTGTAATTAATGATAAGTGTAGCCAACCGTATCATCGACGAGTTTTTTCAAAAACCTTCTGCTTTTATTATTATTATTATTATTATTTATCGCGGCGAAACGAAATTTTTCTTTGATTTTGGCACGATCAAAATGTTTTTGTCTTCAAACGAGGAGACGAACCGAACGTAATAAATTTTTTTTTGGAAGAGTGAACGAACCGTTCGTCATTTCCCCCTCCCCTCTCTTGAAATTTTTAAAAATGAGCGATAGGGGATGTTTTAGTTACATAGTAGGTGGTACGATAAAAGGTATAATAATAGGAGGAATATTGGGAGCTCTCGGAGGTCTGGCAACGAGACAAAGTTCGAGAGGTGTTATTATAACGGCCATGCAAGGAGCACAATTTTTAGGAATCGTTAAATTAATTATCGGAGCATTGTTATGTTGAATCCTTCTCCTCCCCCCTCCCACTCCCCCCATTCACCTCCCAAAACAAAATGCGCAAAAATAAAAATCGTGGCGGGGGAGGGAAAAGAAGTAATATTTTGTTGTAATTGTTATTGTTGTTGTTGTTGTTTAAGCTCCATCGAATTGGGCAAGAAATTTTCCAGAATGTTCTGGTAATATGCAATCACCGATAGATATATCGATAAAAAATTTAGAAAAAAGAAAAACACGATTACCACTCACGTGGGATAATTATTCTAACGTACCTAAAACTATGATAATTGAAAATTCAAAACATTCCGTACACGGTAACGGTTTATGGGGAAGAGTAACGGATACGCCATCAATAACAAACGGACCGTTGGAAAATCGTTATTTTTTTTCACAATTTCATTTTCATTGGGGAAAAGATTCTTCAAGTGGTTCCGAACATACAATCGATGGTAAAAGGTATCCTCTTGAACTTCATATTGTCCACGATAGAGAAACCGAACCTGATGATGATTTAGAATTGGATGATTCTCCAACGGATTTAGTCGTCGTATCATTCATGTTCGAGGTAAGTCCAACGCTAAACAAAATGTCTTCCTTTTCCGGTTTATAAATTTTACTCTTTCTGTCTAGGTATCCGATAAAGACAATCACAATTTGAGAAATTTTCTACAAAGTGTTAAAGAAGTCGAAGGAAGCGAAAAGAAAAAAGGTTTTGTTAAACCTTTTGCACTTGATGACCTCATCGAAACCTTTTCTTCCGATTATGTTACTTATAAGGGTTCCCTAACGACTCCTCCATGTTCTGAAGGTGTCGTCTGGATCATAAGTTCCAAACCATTACCCATTTCCGAACGTCAAGTGAGTATTTTTTTTAATAACCGACGGGAAGAAAAAATTTAAAAAATTTTAAATTTTAAACGACGACTACGACATTTTTTTTTCAGTTGGCAATATTGAGAAGATCGGTTAGAAGCGATAATGGAAATTTAATACAAAATTTTAGACCGTTACAAAATCGAAACGGAAGAGATATGTATTACGTATATAATTAATAATAATAATAATCATGACATGATCGATTTTATTTTATTTTTTCTCTTTTATTTTGTTTTTTTCTTTAAAAAATTATTTTATTAAAATATTATTTGAGCAAGTTTTAAAAACAAAAAAATAAAAAAAATAAAATTTTTTTTTAACCTTTCGTTTACTCTTCGTGCAAAAAAACGTTTTTTAAACGTAATAATTACATGTAAACAAAACCGATAATTTTATTTTAACTTACATAGATAGTTAAATAATATTAATAACTATAATAATAATAATAATAATAATTTTCTAAGAAATTTTCCACACCGGCTGGAAACATCGTTTAATAATCCAAGGCCAAGGATCATCATCATCATCATCATCATCATTAATAACCGTGATATAGTGTTTAGCAGCATATAATTATTATTATTTTAAGGGAAAAATCATAGAGTAAAAAAAAAAAAAAATTAAAAATAAACAAAAAATCTACGTAATACAATATGGCGACGATGACGACGACAACGACGACGACGACGACTAGAATGTACGGATTTTAAAGTTTTCTTTTCTCTTTTTTTTTTTTTTTTTTTTTTTTTTTTTGTCCGTTTCGGTTTTGATTTTGATTTTGTTTTGATTTTATATAATAATACATTTTAAAAAAAGAAAAAAAAAAAAAAAAAAAACTTTGTGAAGCAAAATTGAGCATGGTATTACCCGAATTCAGCTTCTGTTTGTTGTCTAGCTTGGTATTAACAAAAGTTAATTTCATGTTGATGCTCGCATGGGAAACATTTAATAAAATAACAAATTGGGCCGTTGGAGTTCCAGCACAATCCCTTAAAAATAGTAAATCATATGTTTATTTAGAAGATTTAAACATGTTTTCGTGGTGCGATAATAAATCAAAATTATTTGAAATTATTTTATTTGGTATTTTTTTAATAATAATCGGTGAGTGAGATTTTCAATTCGAAAACAAACAATATAATGTTGTTGTTGTTCGATTTAAAACAAAACATTTTCTCTTAAACATGTTTTAGTTATTTTCTGCGAGAGCATATTTAACATATCTTCGTGTTTTCAATCCGTCGACAGATCCCAAGAACCAGAATTTCAATTCGGTTATAGAAAAAATAATGGTAAGTATTTTATTATTATTATTTTTTTTTTTTTGTGTGTGTGTGTGTGTGTGTGAACATTTTTTTATTCTTAAAACAATGGATAATAATAATAATGATAATAATTAATGTTAAGGGCCGTCCATGTGGAAAGAACATTACGTGAACGCATTGGGAGACAAACAATCACCGATTAACATTGTCGTTAATGATTCCATGCAATGTCCTTGCGGTCCTTTAATATGGAATAATTTTTACGAATTACCAGAATTAATGATGATACACAACGACGGTTATTCTAGTAAACAAAAACAATCAATCAATCAATCAATCAATATATCTACGATATTATTAATTTAAAAAAAAATATCGTTTATTTTTCTAGTTGCCGTCAACGGTCAATGGACGAATGGAAAACCGGAAATAACCGGATTACCGTTAAATAACGAATGCTACGTATTTAACAGATTATATTTTCATTGGGGTCCTACCGATACCGAAGGTAGCGAACATACAATCGATTATGAAAGGTTTCCGTTGGAATTACACATGATTTTTTTAAAAGATGGTTATAGTAATCCCATGGAGGCACATTACGATCAAAATCCAAACGGAATTGTCATAGTTGCTTTTTTATTCGAGGTCATACCTGAGAAAAACCGTTAAATGTATACACGACGGAAAATTTTTTTTTTTTTTAACGATAATGCTATTGATTTACAGATAACTCCCGTGGATAATCCTGGATTTTTAAGTATAATTATCGATAATTTAAACAATGTTAAAAATCCAAAATCTAGCTGTCACATACAGCCATTTTCTTTAAATGATATTTATCCTCAATTTGATTATAATTATTATAAATACGAAGGTTCCATCACTCAACCGCCTTGCAGTGAAATTGTTACATACATAATACAAAGTGAAACCATTGCAGTTTCCAAACGTCAGGTTTGGTACCTTTTTTCGATTATTTAATCATTTCAACTCAAACTATGTAATAATAATAATAATGATGATTTGTTTTTCAGATGTCTAGATTTAGAAAACTATTAGCTATCGATGGTAAACCAATGTTGAATAATTCTAGACCCGTTCAAAAGCTAAACGACAGAACAGTTTTTTATTTTACAAGTTGACATTTTTTTTATATATATTTTAAATTTTGGTTAAATATTATTAATAATAATAATAATATTATTGATGACTATGTAAATGATGATGATCGTGATCACGATGATGATGATGACGATGAGAAAACAAAAAAAAATGGGATGACATTGATAAAAGTATGAGTACGAGTATGAAAATTTTGCTGCTTGGGTAGATGGTACGTCAACATTTGGAATTACATTAGAGAATTATTATTATTTTCTTATATCGGGGCCGAAAGTTCCCCCCCCCCCAAAACATGTTGTCCTCTTGTAGTGCCTTTTTCCAATCAGTCGTTTAATATCCAAAAGGAAAAAAAAAAGGTTACGATATTATTTTTTAAATTTAATTTATTATTAATTTATTTTTCGAAGTAGTTTTATTATTATTATTATTATTATTATTATTATTATTATTATTATTATTATTATTATTGTTATTTATTTATTAAAATTTATTTATTTATTTTTACGAAATTATATATAAAAAAAAGAAATTTTTTTTTTTGATGACGAATATAAAATTTAAATTTAAATTTAAAATAAAAATTTTTTTCGACGAACGTTTTAAATTATTTTGAACCGTTGACATATAAACAAACGAATTTAGTTCGTCAAATTTGCCGCCGTCGCCATCGGCGTCGTCGTCGTCGCTGTCGCCGCCACCGCCATCTTTGTCGATACTTTTAGTTTTATGACGTAATCTATCCCGTGGGTAAATTTTAAGTCGCATATAAAAAATTTCTTATTATTTATTTTTATTTTTCTTTCTATTTTTTTCTTTTTTTTTTTTCCTCCATCATATATTATTTTATTTTTTTAAACGTCACCGATTCGCGAGTTGAAACAAAAAAAAAATTTCACCTGCAATGCGTATTTTTAATAACGTTTTTTTTTTTTTTTCAACGCCATCTTGGATAATTTAAAATTTTTTTTTTCGCCTCAGTTTTATTACCGAATTTTTTTTTTTTGTGAATTTAATACCGTACATATTTCTTATTATAATAATACCGGCGGTTCACTTTATTTAAAATTTATTTTATAACTTTAATAAAAGGCATTTTTATTGTTTAAACTGACGAAATAAACGATCGACACTTACATACGACATCAAACTCGTAAAAAAACAAAACAAAATAATTTTGTGATTTTACCGTTACAGAATTTACATTTAAATTATTATTATTATTATTAGAGCGATGATACGATATGGTCATTATTTAAATTCATAAATTTTTTTTTTTGTGATGAATTTTAATTACGTTTGTCAAAAGACACAAAAATTAACAATTTCGATGATGGAAGTGAAGATTATTAGAAGGGAAAAGTTTATTTTTATTTTTAAATTTTTATTAATATTAATATTGATTTAGATAATAAAACTCACCGGAAACTGGAAAAAATAATATGGAAGAAAAATGAAGAAAAAAAATTTTATCTGGCAAATATGGAGGTAAGTTTTTCATACATTTATTTATTTATTTTTTTTTCCCCCTTCCCCCAATTCTTTCGATAAATAATTATTAAAAAATTAAATGTTTTTTTAAATAATATGTATGCATATTTAAAAAAATAAATAAATAAATGAGGAAAAAATAAATAATAACGATGTAAAAATAATTTTCTTTGTTTGTAAAATTCAAATATTATAATTGGCGGGAAGAAATGATTCTTGGATTGTGTGAAAACGTATGAGTTTGCGTCTGCGCGTACTTGTCTTGTTCAAATGAAAAATTTTGTATTAAATGTCATTGTAAGTGCTTTTATATTCTCCATATCTCTCTTTAAAATAGTTTTTTTTTTTTTTTTTTTTTCTCCATTTTTTTTTTCCTTTCTGTTTTTCTTTTTCTCTAAATATATTTATTCAATAAGGTATTTGTGTTTTATATAATTTATCGCGACAGGAAAGTACAAATGTTATTACTTAAAACGAAAAAAAAAAAATTTTTTTTTTGAAATATAAAAGCATATAATATAATATGGTTGCTTTTCAATAGATGAATTGAAGAAAGAAAAAAAAAATAATAATAATAATAATAATTTCAATTTAGTTTTTTTTTTTTTTTAAATTGACCGTCGTCCATTTTAATCATTATATCCTCAACATAAAGTTCGTTTTTTTTTTTTTTTTTTTTTTTTTTAAAAAAAATTGTTTTTAACAAAGAATATTCATGGATTTATATATATATATGAAATATTAATTTAAAGGTATGATTTTTTTTTTTTTAAATTATTTTTTGAATTACGTTTATTAAATTATATTTAATTAAAAATGACTTTTATGTGCAAATATTTATTACATATATTATTTTAATAGTTTTAATTTTTATTTAAATTAATTTTTTTTTTTTTTTTCTATAATTTAATTTTTAATATTTGTGAAATGTAATCTTCTTTTTTTTTTTGTTAGTAATAACAATTTTCTAAAAAATTTAATTACCTTTTAATACCTTATTTCTTGCCTATTCAAGGTACCATTTAACTTTTTAATTTATTGAAAATTATTTTAAAATTGTAAATGTGAAAGAAATTGTTTTAATTTCAGTATAAATATATATATATATTAATATTGGATTTAATTTTCGGTCGAAATATTCTCCAGATTTACATTTGCATGTCATTAAGTTATTTTTAAAATGGCTTTTAAAAATTAAAAGGCTCTAACCAATTTATTTTTTGTTTATAAAACAAAAATTTCATTTAATTATTTATTGTGAATTTTATAGGTTATATTTAAAAATGAGGGAGAATTTAAATTTATGATTTATTTAATATTTTAACCTCACATAAATCATTATTTATTGAATTTTATTGTTTGTTTGTTTGTTTGGTTCAGGTGAAATTTTACTTTTTTTTTTTTTTTTCAAAAATTTTCAGTTGGTTTAAATGCTTGATGTTGAGAGAAATTTTATTAAAAAAAAAAAAAAATTGATTAAATTTTGTTTCAGGTGTTCAGTAGTTATATAAATATAAAATAAAAATAAAAAATGGTGTCCACTCGTCAAAGCAGTAATATTGCATCTTCAAATGAATCTTATGTTTCTGGTGGGAATACCACGAATGAAGCATCTCATTCAAATCATTCAACTCCACATAATGGTGGTAAATTACTTCGAAGTGGGCTTTCAGCTCCTTCTATGCCACCACCATCTTACATGCCATCTACATCTAATAATGAAGTGGCTGTTGCCAATAATAATAATAATAACAATAGCACTCCTGCTCAATCGCAGCAGACATCGACAATTAATTTATTGGACCTTCCTCATGAAATTTTAGATAAGATTTTTAGTTTTTTGGGTTATAAAAATGTCGCCCATCTTCGCCTGGTAAATATAACATAATTTCATTTAGGCATTGAAATATATTTATTGGAAAATAATTATGACAATTATTTAATTTAAAAACATTCAGGTATGTCGTCAATTAGATAGGGTATGCCAAGCAATTTTAAATTCTACATTTCAACGTCTTCAACATCAAATGCTTCATAGATTTCAAAGCATCAAAGCTAAAATGCCTAGAAGAGAATCGGCAAGAAGGAATCATCCGTTGGCTTGCGAGAGTGACATTATTGAAACTCTTCACATGAGATTAACATTATTGCAAATGACTTTTGGGAAACACATTGAAAGGAAACATTGTTGTTTTTTCGCTGGTGAAGTGAGTCATTTTTTCTTTTTTTTTTTTTTTGATGATTTGTTACTGTATTTAGGTTGTCATATTCTTGTGCGACAACATGAGCCATTTTTTTACAAGCTCATAATTCACCTGAAATTTTTACCCTTTTTAATTTCATTTTTTTTTTTATTTTCATCTAAAATTTTAATTATTTTAGATTCTTGATGAAGTTAATCATATATTACATTACATAAAAGTAACAACAAAATTAACCAGACCATACAAAGTCACTGATGAACTTTTTGATTTATCAACAATGGCTATGGAATTTTTTAAAGATCACATTGAACCGACACTACCGGAAATTGGATATTTTGGAACGGATTTTATAGATTTTTCATTCCCAAGGAGTTGTAAGTTTAATCAATGATTTTTATTTAAATACGTTTAAATTAATTATTATAAATTGATTGATTGATTGATTTTTCATGTATTAAGCTCCATCTAGCAATTATTTTACACTTGATTCGCCTCCGCACGGAAGTAAAGGATATGAAAGTCCGACTAGTGGAAATGAAGCATCATCCATTGATCCACAACCAGTGCCTCAATCAAACATGGTGTTGAGAAAAAGAATTAGAAAAATTAAACAAGGAATGAAAAGGTTGGAATAAAAACTTATTAAATTTTAATCGAAAAGGACATGAATAAATTTTGTATTCTTTCTTAAAGATATAACAATCAGTTAACCGTCATGAGAAGAGATTTAAGAACTTGCAAATCGAAAATTGCCGACCAACAAAAACAAATTCTCGAATACACATCAAGAATGGATGAATACGATAAGAAAAATGAAGAAACCTCGAGGAAATTTAGCACTCTTTTACAAGAATTGAACAAATGCAAAACGGAATTACAATATTGGAGATCAAAAACGCCGGCTTTACCGCCATTGTGTAATAATTGTGGTCAAGTCAGTTTTATTCCGACTCCTACGGAAGAATTACAAAGTTTAAGCAGAGAACCACCTTCCGAAGGTGATGATGACGACCCATCTTATCACCACCACTCGTTTACATTAAAATAATAATAATAATAATAATAATAATAATAATAATAATTTAATCGACAGGTTTTGGTTTAGAACATAATCTCCCAATAGAAACAATTGAACTTCGCACCGAACCGAGTACAAGCAAAGAAGAAGATTTTTGGAAATTTTGCGATCAGAAAAAAGATGACAAATCACAAAATCGTGTTTCCGGAAGTCTCGACACAAGATCATCCGAATCGAAAATGGTATCGGATTTAGTATCACCCCGAGGGGGAAAAGGAAAAGATGAAAAATCAAATTCTTCTTCTCCGGCTAAACAAAATCCGTCGACGTCCAAATCGAATCGGGGTAAAAATTTAAAAAGGAAAATTGCCGAAGAAGAATCTTCTTCATCGATGGATTCCTGTAGTAGCAAAAAACCTAAAAGAGTTTTGAAAGTGAGATGTGGAAGCAAACGCGTTAAAACCTAATTATTAAAAAGGAGGAAGAAGAGAGAGAGAGAGAGAGAAAAGGGAGAAAAAGAAATAATAATAATAATAATAATAAAAAGTAAAGTAACAAAAACGAAAAGAAAAAAAAAAAAAAAAAAAGTTAAACGTTAGAATTAATATTATAATCGTGTAGAAAGTGATGTAAAATTGATTTCCTCAATTGGTGAGTCTAGAAAACAAAAAAAAAAAAAAAAAGAAAAAAAAAAAAACAAATAAAAATACAAAAAAGAAAAAAAAAATATAAGCATTAACTCTTCTTCTTATTACAATACAAAAAAACAAAATGGGGGAAAAAAAGGGAGAGAGCAGTAGGATAGAATGAGAAAGAGAGAGAGAGAATGGGAAAACAGTCTGACAGGAAGAAAGCTAGAGAGAGAGAGAGAGAAAATAAAAAGGTAAATCATTTAAACTTTTTGTAACTTTTTTTTTTTTATTTCAAAAGGAAAACTTTAAGGATTTTCATTCGAAAGAAAAGGGGAAAATGAGTGAAACATAAAAGTTTTTTTAAAAATAAAGAAAGCTCATAATCACACACACACACAGACACACATTTATTTGTTAATGGTATAATTATTAAGGGTGTATAATTAAAATTAGTTTTTATGTAAAAAGACAAAAAGAAAGAAATTAATTAATTAATTAAATAAATGGAAAATGTAATAATAAATTATAATAATAATAATAATAATTATTTTAAAAAAAAAAAAGATGTCGATTATACACATTGATGAAAGGATAGGAGTTTTTTTTTTTTTTTTACCATAAGCAATTTTTGCTTTAAGAAAAATAAGCATTCGATTATTATTATTATTATTATTTTTTTCCACCAAGACGTTTTTTTTAGTCATAGATATATACATATAATATATGTTTATAACGGTTTTAAACTTGCCTAAAAAAATAAAATGAAGGTCCTAAAAAAGTTTTTAAATAAAAAAAAAAAATAATAATAATAATAATAGTGAGAAAAAAAGACTTTCTTAAATTATTTTTTTATTACCTTGATAATTACCAACAACAACAAACAACAAACAACAACCATTTAAACATTAATAGGTACATAAACAAAATAAATTCAAATTTTTTTTTTTTTCGCGGGGGCGAGGGGAGGGGGAGCATTTGTTGTAAATAAAAAAATATTTTTTGGTATAAATATCCAATCCTGCTTTATGGGCTTTTTGTTTTTTTTTTTTAATATTTGCTTTTAAAATGAAAATGAAAAAAAAAAAAAAAAGGTACTTAATATAATAATTAAGAAAATTTAAAAATTGTACGTTATAAAAAAAAACTTTTTAAGTTGGACTAAAATTAAATTTAATGGTATGTTTATTTTTTTTTTTTAATGAACGAAAATGGTAGTAGAAATTGCTAATTAATATATTATTATTATTATCATTATCATTATTTTTTGTGATGTTGCCTAACTTAAACGCAGCTTAAATTAAGAATGCGTGCTTTTATTTTTTATTTTATTTTATTTTATTATTATTATTATTTTTTTTTTTTAATAAGTTTATTTTAAAATAATGATGATTAATTAATAAATAATGATTTATATTGTAATTAAAAAAAAAAAAAAAAAAAATTTTTTTTTAAAATAAAATATATGAGCTTTTTTTTTTTTTTTTAGCGCAACAAAAATTTCCTTTTTTATTTATATTTATTATTATTATTATTATTATTATTGTTTAACCTGCTTAATTATTTTTTGCTGATTGCTTAAATTTTTTTTTTTTTTTTTGCTGAAGTTAAGTATGCATTTATATATTAATTTAATTTTATTAATTATCGTAGTTAAAATGAAATTAAATTATTATTATTATTATTATTTAAATGTTTATATGATGATGTCGAGTTGATGGAGGTTATTAATAAATAATACATGAGAGATTTATTATTTTTTTTTTTTAAATATATATAATTTTCAATAAAAATTTATAACAAAATATATATATATGTATGATAACCGATAATAAAATTTAATAATTAAAATGATAAAACAATTTTAAATAAAAAAAAAAAAAAAAAAAAAAACATAAATTTTTGAAATTAATTATAAAATTTGATAAATTTACACATTATAAATGCAGAAAATCATATTGAAATAACATTTTTGTTCATAGAATAATAATAATAATAATTAATAAATGTGTTAGTTATTTAAATTTTTACTTTCAGCAATTGTTAATGCATTATATACAGTGTATGAAATCGTAGAAGAATAATTTGAAAGGTATGAATAACCTAATTTCCTGATTCGTGACATTGATTTAAAACATTTACTACAAGGTTATGAAGAGTTTGTGGCTTGCAATGCTCTTCCAACCAGCTAAATATACATCCGGATAACTCTGAAAAACTACTAACTGACACTGATGAACTGAATGATTCAAATAATTGATCCATAATGGCCTGAAACTGTAACATGAATGGAAATATGTGTGAGATGTTATGTAACTGTAAGTTATAAATGTCAGAGTATTGTAATTAATAAAATTACCACTTTAAATTTAGCTTCATCTGAAATTCTATTATCTAAAGAATCAGGTGTGGCTTGTTGAGCTTTAACTATCTGTTCAATGTTTCCCTGCATTATTTTTAAAGCAATGGCTTCTTTTCTTAAAGCAGTTCTTTCTTCATCTTGTTTCTTTTTTTGCTGATGAAGAAACTAATAGAAAATTTTTGTTTTTTTTTTTTGTAAGAATATTATAACTTAAATAAAATTTAATACAAAAGACTAAAGGAAGAAAGAAAAAAAAAAGAACCTGAATGTAATCAATGGACCGTTGAAGAACAATCGCTTTACTTAATTTATAACCAGAATTATCAGTTTGTTGACAAGTAGGGACCAATTCTTGTAACGTATCATAGCCTTTTTTAATGGCATCTCTACGCCTTTGTTCGGCTTGGGTATGTGCTTCCCTTCGCCTTTCCTTATAACTCAATGGAGAATTTTTATTGTCACTGTCATCTTCGTCAGAATTTGGAGCTGACGAAGGGGTATTCACAGATCCAGTGCTACTACATCGAGAATAAGGAAACCTGTTGGAATTTTCCGTAGGACTTGATGGTTCAGTTTTCATATTTGGACTTCCGTGAACTGACATAACAAATTTTCGGTAAGTGAATATTCAATCATTAACCTTTTCACGTTTACTAAGGCATTTAAAAAAAAAAAAATTTACCTTTTATAACGTCATGGAATATTTTATTTTTGTTTTACACTGTGCTCGGGGAATAGGGCCCCAAAAAATGAGCAAACTATTCTGCCATGTGTTTTACTCTTACCAAAACATCTGTCATTTCTCCCAAATGTTGAAATAATTGTGGGAGAAATTTATGTACGCCATTTTTTTCTTGGCAGTTACAAATTTCGGGCCCAATGGTTGTTGGTGTATTTGTGGGATTGTTATTTAATTAGATAAAAAATAACGTTTTTTATGATTGTGTACAATAAAAATTATTTATAATTAATTTATTTTTTTTCTTTTATAATTATTAAGGGTTCGTTATTGGAATTTTATTTATCGCGGAAAAGTGTTTTATATATAGCAGCCAAAATCTTAGTAATACTAATATTTGCAACTTTTTTATGTGTAGGATCATTATTGTTTTAGTCGAAATTAAGGAATAATAATATTGCTTTTTATATATGTGATTTTAATCGGTTTATTTCAAGAGTATTGTCATTGATACGTAGAATTTTACGTACTTCGAGTCATGCAGGTATTGAATAGTTTGTTTTTGTTTATGTAATACTGTATTGATAAATGTCAAATTAGTTTAGCATGTAAATTTTTTTACATAAATTAAAAAAAAAAAAAAATCAAACTCTATATATACAAAAAGCGTTTTTAATTTTTAATTTTTTATTTTTATTATTTACATTTTTTAATTTTACGAATATTTCATTTCAGGAAAAGTAGGTGACCATATTATAATTATTTGTTTCTATATTAACCATTGTAAACAATATTTTAAAACTTTTTTCAAAATATTTTGCCTTTTTCTTCTGTTTTCAAAATATTTTTATAATCCTTTTAAAAAAGAAAAAAGAAAAAAAAAGGAAAAAAATATGATGCTCTAAAAAATATTATTTCTGTTGTTTTTTTTTTAAATTACTTAATCTATTTTTTTAAATGATGTCATAATTTCAAGGTTTTTTTTGAAATTAAAATTTTTGCCATTAAAATTTTAAAATGTTTATCGAAATAAAGGAATAAAAGACAAATTTTCTTAATTAAGTTTTGATTTGTAATTGATAAGTAAATGTGTATTTGTATACATCAACATTCGACTGTGATACATTTAGTTCAAAAAATTCATAGTGATACTTTTATAAATATTAATTGCAGAAATTTAATGAAACATAATGTACAAAGAAAATGCTTAATTTTATATTAATATGACCCATTTTTCATATGTATTATTTTACTTTTAGTCGTTTGAGTTATTTCATGAATATCCTTTTAATAAAAAGAAAATTTTAAATGCATTACCTAATACATAAATTTGTTTTTTATTTTTCAGGCAATTCATCACTTAATGAACAACATCCATATGAAAGTTGGAAATGGATACAAGATGTTAGAAGATGAAGTAACATTCAAAATAGGTCTTCAACATGGACCATCAATCTGATGTCCAAAAGCAGCCTTTCCAGGGACAACATCAAAGGCTACCAAATCAAAATATTGTTTACATTCAGCAACACCCTCAAAATTTTAGGAATCATACCAACCCTTACCATAATGATAGTTCAACTAGTATTATAAATCAATCATTTCAGGATCAAAATGCTAGCTTTGGGCTATTTGAAAATCACTATCCCTTGGTCGCCAATGGGAATTATTCATCATCAAATACTTCAGCCGCCATAATTCCAAATTCTTTCAATTCTAACAAAACAAAAAATGATAATAATACCAATATTAAAAATGCACATTGTCTTTCCGATAATAACGACAATGATTTATGCAACTTACATCAAAGAACCGATGCTGGATTCCAATATGCCAGTGGAAATTTTCAATCGATAGATTTACAGGGCCTGAATTACCAACAAACATCACCATTTTTTCTACAAAATCTGGGCAATCATTATCAATTAAACGATAATTTAGTGTCAACATATCAAAGCTCGGGCTCAAGCGAATCATCGGATGAGAGTTCAATATCTAATGCTTCACAGTTTCAATATTCCAGTGACTCAAGTAATATTTCAAACAATCAATTTGAATTTCCTGTGCCTGCATCTGCTCCAAATTTGAATGGTCAAAATTTTCATCAGTTTCAACAAAAAGACATAGCAGAGAATTATTTGGCATTGATGCAACAAGATAATCATGTACCAAGGTGTGATTCTAGTAAATCGGAAACAGCAGAGTCAACTTGTAGCAGTCTAAGTTCTGGGTCAACAGAAAGTCAGTCGGAAAATGAAAATTCAGTCAGATTGCCCTTGATTGTTAATCCTGCCTTGAATAACAATGCTAACCTTAACATTTTACACTCTTATCAATCAAATATTCATAATAATGTCTCGTCTTACTCGAATTTGGTTGAGCAAAATGAAAATGGTGAATTTATTACGCATGGAAATTATCCCAATCATCCTGATCAAAATGTATTGAAGTGCAACAATTTTGCAGCAGCAATCAATCCTACAAATTTTGGCAATGAAAATATTAATAACATAAATCACATGCTGCCACAAAATAACCAAGTCAACAATGTTGTGGTAATGTTGCCAAATCGTTTGAACAAGAATATTCAAAACCATGTGCAACCAAATCATCAACAGCAAATGTTACAAAATCCGTCCTCGCAAGACGTTTTAAACACATCCAAATTTTTAATACAAAATCCGAAAGTTAACCAGCAAAAAATATTTGGTTTAATAAATGTGTCAAATCCAGTATTACAGGATAAAATGATTTCGGGAGTGCAAACAAATCAAATGATAAAAGTCAATAATGTAATAACCCAAGACAATTGTGTTAAAAATAACTATTCGAACAATAGAAATTGGAAAAAAGAAAATAATAATTTACCATGTGAAATTTATCAAACAAATTGTGGTGGTGGTGGTGGTGTTGGTGTTGGTGGAATTAGTGGTGGTGATGTCAACGATGATAGAAGTAATAATGTTCATAATTGTGCGAGTGGAAATACATCCGGCGTACATCCAATCATTCATGTTCCCAATGATGGAGGAGTAACTAATAATTGTGCATCACATATTCAAAATACCAGTGACACATCTGTGATAAATTCAAACTTTATTCAAAATAACAACTTACTGTTGAAAGGGTTAAATGACAATGAAAATAATAGTGCAATGTTAATTAAAGAAACCAGTGATAAAAATATTAGCCAATCTGTTGTTAGTAGTGTGAATAGCTCAGTGATTGATTCGAATAGTGTTTATTTGGTAACGAATAATAATAATAATAATAATGAAAATAATGTTATTAAAAATAATTGTTGTGATGATACTTCTTCTTCGAAATCATGTTTCAATTCAAATTCTGGAATTAATAATTCATTGCCTGTTCCTTCGGGATGGAAAAGGTTATTGGTAGACGGATCTATTATTTACTTAAGGTAAGTCAATTTCATTATAATTATAATAATAATTAATATTTCGCTTCGGATTAACATATTCCGGCTTTTAAATAAAATAAATAAAAAATAAATTTATCTTGTTGCATCACATATCTATATATATATATACATATAAAGAAGTTAATAATTGAGATGTAAGGCTGAAATAAAAGTTTTCAATTATTTAATAAACACGTGTAACAAGTTGTTTAAATAATGACACATAAAAAAAAAATTTTTATTTTATTTTATTTTATTTTATTTTTAAAATCACATAAAATTTTATCACAACGTTTTTTTTATTAAAGGCCCAAGGAAAAAAAAAAAACATATTTGAATTTTTTTTTTTTTTCCTATACTTCTCAATGTGGAAAATATATATATATATATGTGTGTGTGTGAAATCGAAAGTAATTTCTGTGACGAGAGACTTTTTAGATAAATGGTAAGAACAACAACAACAACCAACGATCGTTTGTTATGATACAAGGTAGCGCCTAATAATAACCTGTTTATTTAAAATATATATAAATAGTTTCTTCTTTTCTTTTCCTTAATTCCAATTAATGTTAAAAGTAGTTGTTGTGTTGTGTGTTCAACACGGGGCCCCATGATTCAAACTCTAATAATTCTTTAAAAAAAAAAAAAAACATTATTCAAAAATTTTTTTTTTATTTGAAAAAAAAACCGTGTATTAAGGTGAATGACCCTTATTATTATTATTATTATTATTATTATTATTATTATTATTTTTTAATTTAGAATGTTTCCAATTGACACAAATCTCGACGACAACAAAAAAAAAAAAAAAAAACGAAAAATGCGTGCCTGAGTTGTTCATATTTTAAAATTAACAATTAAAATAAACTCTAACGAAAAGACTAAAATTTAATTAAATAATAATAATAATAATAATAATAATAATAATAATAATAATAATAATAATAATAATAATAATGACGACGAAGACTATACATTTTTATGAAGATATCGTAATTGTTTTTTTTTTTAATAAATTTAATAAGGGAAAAAAAAGAAAGGGGGTATAAACGATTGGTGGTTGGTTGGTTGGGGAAAGAGAAAGGGAAAGGACGGGAAAAACCTGAAGGTGGGGGGGCAGGGGGGGGACGGGAAAACGATGATGATTGGGATAATGATCCTTAAACGAATCTTGCGTTTGAAATGCAAAAAAAAAAAAAAAATTTTAATTTTTAATCATCCGGACAAATACCTTAAACGATCATTTAAATAATTTAATGAGAGAGAGAGAGAGAGAATAAACAAACAGACGTACAAACAAACAAACAAACGAACGAACAAACGGGGAAAAAATAAAAAAAAAACAATTTACAAAATTAACGATGTGAATTGACACATTCGAATAATTTATTACCTTGCATTCGCGAGTGCGTACGTATTATTATTATTATTATTATTATTATTTATGTATTTATTTTCGTTATTGTTGCGGAGTCAATTATTATTATTATTATTATTATTATTATTATTACTTTTCGTTCCGGTGAAAATTATTCAAAAAATTTTTATTTATTTTATTTTATTCATCAGTTGGTTCATCACTTAACCTTTCTAAAAATCTTTTCTCTCTCTCTCTCTCTCTCTCTCTCTCTGTACGCCTCCCGTCTTTTTTTTTTCGGATGACGTGATTTAAACAATGGTATCGAAAATTTTCGGTTGCCTTTCTTAGAAAAAAATTCAAAGGAAAAGTAAAAAAAAATAAAAATAAAAATAAATTATTTCTTGTATACACAAAAAAAATGGTTTTTGTAAATTTTTTTTTTTTTTTTTTTTTTTTTGACGGGTCAAAATCATGACAGATAATGAACAAATCATGGAATTCATCCATTTAATAAAAAAACTTTAAGGAACAAAAAGTTTTCCTTTTTTCCTTTTTTTTACGCGTTGTTACGTTTTTTTGTTTTGTTTTGAATGGGTGATAAAAATAGCGGAGGGGAAAAGAAAAGAAAAGAAAAGAAAAAAAAACGTGTCAGCAGATTCGGTTGAACGAAATTTTAAATATTTAATATTCCACATATATATATAAATAGATAGATAGAGAGAGAAAGAGAGTATTTGCCACTTTTATTCGAGATTCTTATTGAAAAAGGAAAATGGAAAATGGAAAAATCATCGATTTTCTTTCTTTCTTTCTTTACGTTTTTATTTTATTTTTTATTTATTTCTGTTTTTATTTTATTAAATCATCATCAAAAAAATAAAATTTATTTCTAGAAACGTTTTACTAAACGAAACAAACAAAAATATTTATATAAAAATATGTATGCATGAATAAGTAAGGACGAGTGTAAGTGTAACGCTTTTACTTCATAACGGATTCTATTAAGAAAATATTTCTTTTGTTATTCATCATCATTATCATCATCATCATCATCATCATCATCATCATTCTTCTCATCCATCGTCATCATTTATTAACGAAATTAAAATAATAATAATAATAATAATAATAATAATTGAATTGTGTCGAGTCTTAAAAGTATTTACATTGTTGTTTTTCTTCTGCTAAAATTTACAATCGTATTTTATAATTAAAAATCAATTATGTCGGCACGGTTACGTATTTTAATCGAGGAAAAAAAAAAAGATATAATGGTAATAATGATGATGATGATGATGAAAAAATAATAATAATAATAATAATAATAATAATAATAATAATAATAATGAAATCAGTGGTGGTGATGACCTCTTAAAAACGTTTAACTTGTGAGAAATCAATAATAGACAGGGAAACCCCTTTCTTCGCTCTCCATCACTGCTTTTTAACGTTCCACTAATCGACCAGGGTTCCCTCTCTCTTCTCTCTCTCTCTCTCTCTTTCTCTTTTTCTTTCTCTCTTTCTCTCCTCTCCTCTTCTCCTTCTCTTCTCCCAAACTCCCCAATCTCCCTTCGAATCTCCTCGCTTCGTGTTTTCCCCTTCTCTTCCTTTTCCACTTCCTCTTCCTACTCCTCTCTCTTTTTCTTTCTTCCTTTCTTTCTTTTTCTCTCTCTTCTCTTCACTTCTCCCGCGGTGGCCTCCTTCTGGCCCCACCTTATAGCTTTGCAACAAAGGAGTCTTAGAAATGATTTTTATTACCTTTTTTATTATTATTATTATTATTATCATTATCATTATTTTTTCTTTCTTTTTTATCCATTTCTGCCCTTTTGTGTTTCGATTCGTTTTTTTTTTTTTTTTTTTTCTTTCTTGGATGTGAGCTTTTTTTTTTTTTGTCACAGGGGAAAGAGGAAGGGAGAAAGCGAGAGCGAGAACGCGGAAAGAGAAAGGGAAGAGAGGAGAAAGTGCGAGGAGAGAGAGAGGGGGGGAGAGAGAGGGAAAAAAAAGAAAAATGTTAGTTTTCACAACAATAACGAAAGGGTTTAAGCTTTCTTTTTTTCTTTTTTTTTTTTTTTTCGTTTTCGGTTCAGCCATTTTTTTTTTTCGTTCTTTCTTTCTTCAATTTTATTCTTTTCCCGCGTCTTACCCCTCGTTTCCCACCTTCCGACGTTTCGCCTTCGGGGAAACATAATTCTCCAATTAAAATCTGTTCGTATTAAAATGTCACCGACTTTCACATATTTTTTTAATTTTAATTTTAATTTTCCCCGCATCGAAAATTTATTTTGTATTACGTATAATAATTATTTTTTTGTACCTTTACCCCCTAAAAATTAATTTTAAAAAAATTAGTCGACCTTTTAACCCGCCCCCCCCCCTTCCTCCCCCATTTCCCAGTTTATTAATTACACGTCGATCGCGTATTCATTGGAACCCCCTTTTTTTATTTTAGCTAGCTTAAATTTTAATTATTTTAATTTTCGGGAAGGCGCCCTAATTTGGGGGGGGAGGGAAGGTGGGGGGAATGTGGGAAAAAAAATTTTCAGCCGTTGAATGAAATCAATTTATCAATATATAAACGTTTCAAAAATAAATTCAGGGTTAAATAATTAAAAAATTTTTTGATATTTTATTTTTTTATTTTTTTCCTGGCAGATTGTGTGTGAGAGAGTGAGTGAGGGGGGGAAGGAGGGGAAGGAGGGAAATGAAAATTAAATGAGTTGTTAAAAGTTAACTTATTTTCCCTTAAGAAAGAACGGAAATAAATTAACTAAAATAATTAAACGAACGATTTTTTCCTTTTTTTTTTTGTTTTCATTTGCATTTAGACAATAAAAAAAAAATTGTTTTTTTTTTCGGGGGGGGGGATGTGGGGGAGGGAAGAACGAATAAAATTTAAATTTAGTTGGAAATTAATTAAAAATTTTTAAAAAGATGATCACAGGTGCGGTTTGGTAATTTCATTATCAAAAAGGGGGTATGATATCGTAAAGACGAAAAGTTAATGAGGTGTTGGTAGCCCTGCGTGAAACCGGTAATGGAATCGGTAGTGCCAATGCATTTTTTTTTTTTTTTTATTTAAAAACTTTCGAGCCTTTTACCCAGCCACCTCCCCCCACATTCTTGCATTCATTCTGTTGCTCCCCCCCCCTTTCTCTTTCGAAAGCAATAAATTGAAAACAATTTAATATATATATATAAGGAAATCATGTTGTCCGTTTGTTCGTTTGTCGATGATTCTTGGATGGTGTTATAAACCCGAAATTAATCCGATTTAATGAAAATTTATTTTTACGTACTTTATAATTGTCGATGATTATTTACGGTTTGTTAAATTATAGTTATATTGGAATATTATTACGTAACGCCGATAAAATAAAGAAAAAAAGGGATATTTAATAACATGATAATTTGTTTATTTATGTATTAATAATTTTATTACATAAATAATTTAATAATAATAATAATAATAATAATAATAATAATAATAATAATAATAATAATAATAAATCGTGGAAGCATTTAATAACTCGTTTTTAAAAAGGAACGAGAGAAGAAACGATAAAAGTCGGATAAGCCGATCTGATGAGATGTTGTTGTTGTTGAGAATTCGTTACAAAATAAACAGTTGGGAAATTTAATAACAAAAAAAACAACAATAATAATAATAATAATGATTATAATAATAAATTGCGCGATAAACAAACAAATATTATTATTATTAATAAAACGAATGAAATAATAATAATAATAATAATCGTAAAGTTTTTGTTTACAAAAAAAAATAAAAATAAAATAATTATTGATTCTATTTTTTTTTTATGAATTTATTTTATTATTATTATTATTATTATTATTATTATTATTATTATTATTATTATTAATATTTTTTCGTTTCTTTTTATTTTTTTTTATTGTCTCTGGCAAATTATTTAAACCACAAGGTAAATAATAATAATAATAATAAAGTCGTAAATTAATCACGACCGACCGCATGGCGGCCAAAATTCAAGGTCTTTATAATAATAATAATAATAATAATAATACGACGACGTCGTACCTTTGTAAATATATTCAGGTAGATTGATATATATTGAAGTTTACCTACACTTAAATATTATTTAAATTTTAATTTCAAAAAAAAAAAAAAAAAAAATCTAAAGTGCAAAACCGACAAGTTTAATCATCATCGCCGATGATGAAGTTCAAGGGAGTACAAGTAGTAGTAGAAGTTTTTTTTTTTTTCAATTAGGTTTTTAAGTACCGGATATGTTACGTGTGTTTTCGCGTATCGATGATCGTTAAGGTGACAATGATGACGTCACTTGTATTTGTTATTTATTTGTTATGTATTTATTTTTTTTCTTTTTTTTCTTTTCAGTCCTACAAACATCGCATTGAGTTCTATCGAACAAATAAAAATGTACTTACAAACGATGGGAACTTGTAAATGCGGATTAGAATGTCCGGTCAATTGCGAATCCGTATTTAATTTTAATCCAAAGGTAAGCCTTAAAAAAAAGGTATCGAAGGTATCAAAAGGAAAAAAAAAAAAAAAAATTACGATCCGATTGTATTGAATAAAAAGGTTTTACACAGATTCATTGTTTTCGTGGGGTATGTGTGACGAAAAAAGGGGGAGAAAAGGTTCTTAATAAAAAAACCTGAAAACCTGAAAAAATCATTCATTATTCACAATGTTACCACAGTCACAATGGTCCCCTCCTGTCGTTCTTTATTCTTTGGAAAAGAAAAGAATAGGAAAAAAACTTTTCGGTGTCATTTGTACGTGCAAAAAAATTTTTTTTTTTTTTTTTTCAAACGTTTCGGTGATTTTTAAACTTAATTGTTATAAATGACTTTGAAAAAAAAATGTTTTCTTTAGATTTTTCGTGCCGTTTGTTAGTATTATTATTATTATTATTATTATCCACCATTAAACACGACAAGGCTACTTGTCGGAGTTTTTAAGTATTTATCCGAGGTTTCTACCCGATTCCTTAGGGACAAATACTCGAATTTCGGTGGTGCCACTTATTATAAGATAGCACCACATCAATTCTTGAAGGTCTTCCTGAGTCCATCTTTATTCGATGGGAACGATTTGTCTCCTGAACTGGGCTCCGGTGACTAACATCTTTGGAGTGGCCAGGGTCAGAAGCAGTGAAATTCACGTTCTCGTCGAGCTGCCTCAGGTCGACAGTAGAACAAGATTTGTTTTTTTTTTGGTTCTTACTTTGTCTTGTTCTCATTTTTTTTTTTTTTTTTTTTTTGCTCTTTAAGCCAACGGCACGTGGCGTTCTCAAACGGTCACCCATCCAAGTACACACCACGCCCAATGCTGCTTAACTTCGGTGATCGTACGGGAACCGGTGTGACCAGCACGCTATGGCCGTTGGCTTTATTATTATTATTATTATTATTATTATTATTCTTTTTTTTTTTTCTTAAACTGTAACTAATTCGCATTTAAGTTTTTTTTTTTTTTTTTTTAAATACCTTAAAACGATTTGCAAATGGAATGTAATTAAGCGAGTTTACATACGTCGTATTATGGTAAAAATTATTTTTTTCTTCTTCTCTTCTCCCTCTCTTTCGGTCCCTCAAAACCTGAAAAAAAATATTATCATTATTATTATTTTAATATTTCGTTTGTGGTTTTTTTTTTTTTTAAAAACATTTTACGGGGGGGGGGAATCCAAATGAAATTCCCATATTATTATTATTATTTACAAAAAAATCGTTTTCATTAGTAGTGAGTGTTTTATTATTATTATTATTATTATTATTATTATTATTATTATTATTATTATTATTATTATTATTATTGATATTTTTTTTTTTTTTTAGGTAATTTCACGGCCTTGGGATTCATCAGACTCGGAACAAACTCGATTGTGCAATCATAAGCGGAAAGCGCCTATTTCTGGATCCTCCTCAGACCAAGATGGAGGGGGTCCACACAAAAACGTTAAATTAGGAAGTAGGAAAGGTAAGCATTGTTTTTATTATTATTATTATTATGAATGCTAATGGCGGCGCGGATTCGTGTAGGTTTTACCTGCTGTTGAAAATTCAAGTAATTGCAAAACTTGAATTTTTTTTTTTTTTTTTTTTTTCAAGTTTTTCGAGGTTCCTCATACTTTTTTTTTTTTTTTTTTTTTTTTTGTGTTGCCACCAACGAACAACAACAACAAACAACAAAAAAAAAAGAACAAAAATGTATTTGGGATTGGCCAAAACGAGTTCGAATACACGTTTTTTTTTGTCTCTCTCTCTCTCTCTCTCTTCCCGTCTCTCACTCACTCTACGTCTCTCTCTTTTTTTTTCCTCAAAGTCTGAACAAAAAAAAAAAAATTTGCGAGATTATTTAAAAATAATAATGATAATAATAATAATAATGATAATAATAATTTTTCGTTAAGGTATTGAAAAATTAAAAGCGGCGTCGGGTCATGTTTTCTTGATTTCACGACCATTTTTTTTTTTTTTTTTTTTTTTTTTATTTCTTTTATATTCTTTAAATTTAATGGCGTAAAGTCCAAGGTCCCCCCCCGTTTCTCCTCTCCACTTCCCCTCTTCCCCTCCCCGCTTCTCCCCCTTCCAGAATGTTTAATCGTTGGTTATTCCTTTTCGTTTTTTTTTTCGGCTAATTTGTTTCCATTTTAATTTTATTGTTTTTTTTTTTTTTTTTTTTCTTTTTTGTTTCCCCCGTAATGAAAAAAAAAAAAAAAATTTTTTTTTTTTTTTTTTTGGTTACCCTTCGAAAATAAAGTAATTTTTTTTTTTTTTTTTTTTTTACCACCTATTGTTGTGGGGACCGGAAAACCGTTTTTTTCTTTTTTTCTCAACTTTAATATTTAAATTTTAATTATAATTTAGAAATGTAAATTTAACTTCCTTTAAAAAAAAAAAAAAAAGTTAATTAAGTAAACCTGGATTGTTATTTCCGTTAGTTTCCAATGGTCGAATATTCAGGTTCACCGCTGTCGAAAATATTTAAATATGCTATTATTATTATCATCATCATTATTATTATTATTATTATTATTCGAGGAAGATGATAATTTTGATAGGGATAATAGTTGTTAATGAATTTTTTATTTTTTATTTTTTATTCACCGGCAGATGTTTGAAGGCCGACCAAAAATGATAATAATAATAATAATAATAATAATAATTTGAACGTTTTCGAATTAATTTTCCGTTTTTTTTTTTTTTTTTTTTTTTGACAATCGTCAGCCATTTTTAAAATGAATTTTTCATTATGACGATGAAAATCAAATAGAAAAAAAAAAAAAAAAAATTGGGTTAAATGGAAAATTTCACGAAGGTGGGGAGAATAAATCGGTCGTGATGAGATGATGATGACATGTTCATCCGTAATCTTTATCATTATTATCATCATCATTATTATTATTATTTTCTCGTGGTTTTTTTTTTTGCTTGTTGTTTTTTTTCTTCTCCCCCCTCCCCCACTTCTCCCTTCTCCCCTTGTCGGGAAATGGTCTCCTTTTTTTAATATTAAAAAGAAAAGAAAGTAGAGGGGGGGGAAAAAGTTCAGACGATGGAAAAAAATCGTGAATATCGTTTCGCGGTAATAAATTAATAATAATAATAATAAGTCGTGCGACAACAACAACAAAAACAACTTTAAAAAAATAGGACAACCGGAAGTAACGAGTTAATACCTTTTTTATTCCCGCCACAATTCTGATTTCCGGTTAATTTAATTTATTTTCGTTTTTTCGTAACGGAAAACTTTAAGGGGTGGATGCGGAAAACATAAAAAAAAAAAAAAATTTTTTTTTTCCTGGGGTCTAACAAAGGTAACGCGAAGGCGGCGTGTGTCGGTGGGGGCGGGGGCGGCGGCGGAAGGTCGGAAAAAAAAAGGGTACATATATCTGGATACGAAATTAGTTTCCGTTTTTATTGGTTTTTTTTTTTTTTTTCATTTTTTGATTCTGCCGATTAATCACCCGCTGAGTAATAATAATAATAATAATAAAGTGAATCATGCCGGAGAGAGAAAGAAAATAATAATAATAATAATGATAATGATAATGTAAAACCCTAACAGTTATATGGGAAATGGTTAGGGAAATACAATATTATCATTATCATTATCGTCGACTTTATCACCGCCGCGTTAATGTTAATTAATTAAAATATCGTTTTTTTTTTTTTTTTTTTTTTTTTTAAAAAAAAAAATTTCTAATAAACACGCGCACGCGCACACACGCACAAAACTCGTACACGTTTTAATAAATTGCAAACTCATTAAGATAATTGAATCGAGGGGGGGGTCGGGGAGGTGAGGAGAGGAGGGTTAAAAGAAGGCAACCCAAAATTTTCTTTTTTTTATTTAATGTGAAAAATTAAAAGCGACCCGACGAAGGTTTTCCGTCGCATTAAATCATAATCGTCGTTATCGTTATCATCATCATCATCATCATCATCATCATCATTATTATTATTATTATTATTATTAGGAACATGGTTGGCATCATTAATAAATACGTTTCAACCAATTTTTCCTTTTTACTTTTTTTTTTTTTTTTTTTTTTATGAAAAGTAATTGAAACGTGGAAAATGAAATGATAAAAAAGGAAAAAAAAAATTCAATATTGATTTATTTATTTACTTATTGAATTGCGGGGGGGGGGTTCTTTTTATATTCCGAAAATAATAATGATAATAATAATAATAATAAAACAAATTTTTCAATGTATTTATAAACGTTATTTATAATAATAATAAATTTTTTTTTTTTTTCTTTTTGAAAAATATCAAAACTTGGCATTTTCCGGTTGGGGGGGGGGAAAGAAAGAAAGAAAGAAAGAAGAAAAATTATTATTATTATTATTATTATTATTTGATGGTTTTTAAAATTGAATTATCGTTTAAAAGTCTTTCTTTTCTTTATGCGTGCACGTGTGTATACGTGCGTGTGTGTGTGCTGCTGCTGCTGCCTTACAGCCTTTTTTTAAAAATTTTTTTTTTATTGAATCCTTTTATTTTCTTTAAAATTATTATTATTATTGTTATTATTCGTCTTTCTCCTCCTCCTCCTGCTGCTGCTGTTGCTGATGCTGCTGTTGTTGTTGTTCTCATTATTATTATAAAAATAATTTTTTTTTTTTTTAGTACAGATAACTACTTTACGTATATTTGAACTTTTTATTTTTTTTCGAAGAAGGGGGGAGGGGAGAGGAAGGGAAGAGAGGGAAACGAGGTAGGAAAGCGCGGGGGTGGACGGGAGAGAGGGGAAGGGAGGAGAAACAAAGAAAATCGTGGCATTAAAAAGTGATTTTTTTCGTTTTGTTTTTTTTTTGCTCCAGTTATTTTCGTTATTAAAACAAATAATTTTTTATTTTATTTTATTTATTTATTTATTTATATATATATTGTTTTATTGCTAGAAGCAATAAAAACGAAATCGAGAATTTTCTGTTTTTTTTTTTTTTTGTTTCTTTTATATTATTAAATTTTGCTAATTTTTTTTTGTTTTCGAAAAATGAGGTCGACGACCGTTTTCGCTTCGTTTTATTTATATTCGTCGTCATTGATTTATAACGAAAATATCGATCGTAAATCGGTCAAAAATAATTTTAAAAAAAAAAAAAATTATTCGACGTGAATGGATCGTAAAAAAAAATAACAAAATTTATTCGTTGAAAAATTTACCGACTATAAAAATAATTACGACGACGACGATGATGATGATAATGATGATGACGATGATGTTGATGATGATGATGATAATGATAGTAGTGGTAGCGGGCATTTAATTTTCTCATTTAACAAACATGTCGGTCGCTAACGACCGACCGGGTTGAAAAGGTTTTAATTAAAACAAAACAATAATGATAATGATAATGACGATGATAATAGTTACGATGATGATGATAATGATGATAAATTTCATTTGTTAAGAATTTTGACTAAATTTTCACACTTTAAAACTTTTTTCCCCCCCATCTCCCCATCCTCCCCCCTCCCCGTCATCAGAATACATTAAAAAGAAGAAAAGGGAGAAAAATTAATAAATTTTATTTAGAACGCATGGGAAAATTTTTTTTTATTTTCTGGGGAGCCGATAAAAAAACAAACAAGAATATTTTCCGATAGGGTTGATTTTCCCATATCGCATAGCTTGGCGTATTTTTTGAACTGCATAGAGAGAGAAAAGAAGGATGAAGAGGGGGAAAGGGGAGGGTGCAGGAGGGGGCAGGGAAAAAAACATTTTGCGACGACTCAAAAAATTTTCCAGCTCCTGGAATATAAAGAAGTCTTATACCTATTATATTTTATAAACACACGGAAAACGCTTTTTAAAATGTTTTTAACTTTGTGAGGCTCTTGAAATCAATAAAACGCACCTTTGGGACACAGAAGAAAGGAAGAATGAGAGTGAGTGAGAGAGAGAGAAAAAAAGAAAATTTATTTTAAAAAAAAAGAGAATGAGAGAGAGAAAGAGAGAAAAGATAAATTGCGAGAATGTGATAGAGTGAGAAAACACAAAAGGGGGGGGGGATTTCGAATCGTTTTTTATATAATACATTTTATATATATAAATACGCCATTTGCCTCCTCCTTCTCCACCTCCTCCTCTTCGTTCCCCTTTTTAGCTTTCGCATCCTTTTCTTTAATCAGTTTTCTTTTTCGTTCAATTTTTGACATTCATCCCATTATTTTGTTTTTCTTTTTTTTCTAAAAATAAAGATGAAAATTAAATCTCTGTCGTATAGATAAATAAATAAATAAATAAATATTGGAAAATTGATTAATTGTTAATTAAATTTTTCATTTAATAAAAAAAAAAAAATGGCAAATATTTTTTTTTTTTTTTGGGATTTCCCTTCGGGAGGGGGAAAATTTGATGCGAATTTAATTGATTGAATCCATTCGTTAGAATTCAAACCGGAAGTTGGAGAAAAAAAAAAAAAAGAAAAAAATTTGAGGTTAAACACGAATGTATATCTCATATATTTATGAAATCAATTTGTTAAATGTAATCAATCGGAAACGTTCGTTTTCGTAATAGAAAGTTTTTTTTATATATATAAATATCATTATTATTAATATTAAAGTTTTCCACTCGGTTGCATTCATTGCAGGGGGAGGAGAGGAGGGAGATGGGGGGGGGAAAGATTTATATTCGTAAAAAAGCGAATCGGGCTAGAATTATTATTATTATTATTATTAATTTGTACCCGATAGGATTGGCGTGAATTATGAAAAAAAAAAAAAAAAAAAAACGTCAAATTTTTACACTTTAATTGTATTTTATTAAAATTTTTCATTAGGAACGAAAAGGGAAAAAAGGAAAAAAAGGAAAAAAAGGAAAAAAAGGAAAAAAAAAAAAAGGAAAAAAGGAAAAGGGTTAAGTGATTTTATCACTCGGTGTTTGAGAAAATTTGTCGGGGAAAACCTTTTTTTTTTTTTTTTTTTTTTTTTTTTTGAAATTTAATTTTTTTTTTTTTTAAAACATTTTATTGCTTTAAATTTAGTTCCACGACAGTTTTTCCTTCTTCTTCTTCTTCTTTCTTATTTTTTTTAATTTTTCATCGGTTGTCGAAACTGTTGAGGCAATGACCCCGTTTCGATTCGATTCGATTTTTCATCTCGAATATAAATTTTTATTTTCGATTCGTTCGTTCGTGTGTGTGTGTGTGTGTGCGTGTGCGTGTGCGTGTGTGTGACTTTTGTATTAAAAAAAATAAAGATAATAATAATAATCGCAATAAAAAGAAAATTCGATCGTGGATTTGACCGATTTTTCTTTTTTCTTTTCTTTTTTTTTCTTTTTATAAATTACAAAATAAATTGAAAAGCAAACTTTTTTATTTTTATTTATATATTTTTTCTCTTTCTCTTTCTTTTTCTATTCGTATTCTTCTCTCTCTCTCTCTCTCTCTCTTATTTTATTTTATTTTTTTCTCTTTTCTTCATCTTCATCTTCGTTTTCCCTCCAGTAAAATCAAATAAATAAATTTTCTTTTTCTTTTATATCGGAGTTGAAAATATGTGCATGTGTATGTGGGGGTGTGCGTGTGTGCGTGTATGTAAATGTTTACGAAAAAAAATGATTTAAACAACTGAATTTTTTTTGTTTTTGTTTTTTATTTAAATATTCATTTGTTTATTTATTTAAAAATATTTTTGAATAATTATTTTTAAAAAAAAAATATTAAAACGTGGCTTTAGAATAATTATTCAGGTATACGAACGAACATCGCAACTGTTTTTTTTTGTTGTTGTTATTTTTTATGTGACAGTTTTAATGAATGTTAATGAGGAAAAAACCTACACGTTCATAATAAAAAAAAAAAAAAAATAATTTGTGATGACAAGC